TGTTCCTTGTAACAATTTATTAAAAAAAAGCCAATGTTCCCACAAAAAAAAGTGAACGCACTGCCCCAAAATGGCGTCCAAAGATGGCGGATTGACGACTTTGACTTTAGTTAGTTTTTTGGTCACTGAGAATCAGCATTAAGCTTAATTTCCTCATAGTTGGTCTTTTATTAAAGCTGAATAGTTATAGAATAATAAAACATGAAGAAATATTAAAAAATAATTGGCTAAGGCTATGAAAAACACCAGTAAAGTCAATTTTTTTAACAAAAAAATTTTCAAGTTACAAATCAAGCGTCGTTTGTAATTAAACGGCCTACAATAACGCAAAACGTGCTGAAATAAACCATCTGGAGAATATATTTCTCTTTCTGAAACGCTGATTATTTTTTACAAATGTTTGAGTAGTTCCGTAAAAAATGCACTTATGCGGCAGAAAAGCGGTACTGGCGTGGGTGCCTACAGGCCTCTACCACACCATTCAGTGCCCATAAATGGCTTAGTTATAGTGATATAATAACATTTTTGGTACATTATATTGGTTTTATTAACGAACAAATATTAATGCAATAATTTAATAGTAAAAAAAAAAATTTAAATTAAAAAAAAAATTTATTATTATTTTTTTAAATTTTAACCTCCTTTATTCTATACGTAGGTCGTTTAAGAATACCTCAATTGTAAAAATGGTATAATTATAATAATAAAACTTAATTAAAAAATATTTTGCTAAATATCTTGATTTTTTTTTATTTAACGTTTGCAATTTAACACTGTGTTTTGAATATTTACTGATTCTTAGAAGTAATTAAAATTTTTATATACTTCCCAGGAAATGAGTCATATTCATACCTTTTTTATAAACTAAAATAATATATACCTAATCTGAACTATATATAATGAATAGCTACCGGGTTGTTTAGTAAAACTCATATATCACTAATTAAAAAATTAATTTTTATTTCCTCTATTTTGTGCAGAAGTTGGACTATATCATAAATAAATAGGAAATTTTAATATTGAATGAATTATTCTCTATGCACAAAGAAAGATATAAAGGGTGGCCCTATAAGTTCTTCTATAAACCAAAACTGATTGTTTGGATTTGATCTCAAAATGAGGAAAAACGTGAACTTAAACGAGAAAATTGGAAAAATACATTAAGCGAACGAGAAAGGAAGTGCCAAAACCTCGGAATAAATAAAAAGGACCAGTTATTATTATTATATAGCTAAGTTATATAGCTAAGTTTATATAGCTAAGATTATATAGCTAAGCTATTATTATTATATAGCTAAATGAATGTATAGTAGACAGATGAACAGAATATTTCAAGATGCTGCTAAAACGGGATCAATTGCAGTATGGATGATATTAAGTTGACGATGTAGGTTTATTATGGTGAAAACCACTTTATTTTCGATTGCTGAAGGTGCACATCGGGACTATATTAACTTTGAAGATGAATATAGAGATGTACATCGAGAAAGTTATAGCTCATAGCTTTCCTTCTGTTTAGTGGATTTTCAAAAGATTTTTTAAGGTATCTTATATTAGTTGTAGCTCGTTATTCTTCTCGTTATTCTTGAATTGTTCGGAATTTGTACCATATCATAAAAAATAGGAAATTTTAATATTGAATGTATTATTCTCTCTGCACAAAGAAAGATGGAAAGGGCGGAACCGAACTGCTTTGACAGTTTTGCGCGTACATAGGCAAAAAGCATATTAGAAAATAATATGAAAGGACTGTGGTTTTTACCTTTACAAGAAAGGAGGTACTAGGAAACGTAATACCCATCAAGATCCATTCCTGTTTAGTGTACCAAACAAATTATACACAAGAATCGTAGAAGCTGGAATAAGAAATATTGTCGATTGCCAGAGTGATATGGATTGAGAAACTCAAGTTGCACATTGGAAGAGAAGTTGAAAATTGGGACTGTCTTCACTTTAAGGCAGGTTATAGAGAAGTCCACATAAAAAGAAAAATAGCTCTCTATCTGCTCAGTGCCTCACACTTTGGATTATGCTAATATCTAACTGTCTTTCAGAAAAACTCGTTTTCCTTTTAGATCCCTTAAAAAATCTTTTGAAAATCCACTAAACAGAAGGAAAGCTATGAGCTATAACTTTCTCGATATACCTCTCTATATCCTGCTTCAAAGTTAATATAGTCCCGATGTGCACCTTCAGCAATCGAAAATAAAGTGGTTTTCACCATAATAAACCTACATCGTCCACTTAATATCATCCAAACTGCAATTGATCCCGTTTTAGCAGCATCTTGAAATATTCTGTTCATCTATCTACTATACATTCATTTAGCTATATAATGGATACAGGTCCTTTTTATCTATTCCGAGGTTTTGGCACTTCCTTTCTCGTTCGTTTAATGTATTTTTCCAATTTTCTCGTTTAAGTTCACGTTTTTCCTCATTTTGAGATCAAATCCAAACAATCAGTTTTGGTTTATAGAAGAACTTATAGGGTCACCCTTTATATATTTCTTTGTGCATAGAGAATAATTCATTCAATATTAAAATTTCCTATTTATTTATGATATAGTCCAACTTCTGCACAAAATAAAGGAAATAAAAATTAATTTTTTAATTAGTGATATATGAGTTTTACTAAACAACCCGGTAGCTATTCATTATATATAGTTCAGATTAGGTATATATTATTTTAGTTTATAAAAAAGGTATGAATATGACTCATTTCCTGGGAAGTATATAAAAATTTTAATTACTTCTAAGAATCAGTAAATATTCAAAACACAGTGTTAAATTGCAAACGTTAAATAAAAAAAAATCAAGATATTTAGCAAAATATTTTTTAATTAAGTTTTATTATTATAATTATACCATTTTTACAATTGAGGTATTCTTAAACGACCTACGTATAGAATAAAGGAGGTTAAAATTTAAAAAAATAATAATAAATTTTTTTTTTAATTTAAATTTTTTTTTTTACTATTAAATTATTGCATTAATATTTGTTCGTTAATAAAACCAATATAATGTACCAAAAATGTTATTATATCACTATAACTAAGCCATTTATGGGCACTGAATGGTGTGGTAGAGGCCTGTAGGCACCCACGCCAGTACCGCTTTTCTGCCGCATAAGTGCATTTTTTACGGAACTACTTAAACATTTGTAAAAAATAATTAGCGTTTCAGAAAGAGAAATATATTCTCCAGATGGTTTATTTCAGCACGTTTTGCGTTATTGTAGGCCGTTTAATTACAAACGACGCTTGATTTGTAACTTGAAAATTTTTTTGTTAAAAAAATTGACTTTACTGGTGTTTTTCATAGCCTTAGCCAATTATTTTTTAATATTTCTTCATGTTTTATTATTCTATAACTATTCAGCTTTAATAAAAGACCAACTATGAGGAAATTAAGCTTAATGCTGATTCTCAGTGACCAAAAAACTAACTAAAGTCAAAGTCGTCAATCCGCCATCTTTGGACGCCATTTTGGGGCAGTGCGTTCACTTTTTTTTGTGGGAACATTGGCTTTTTTTTAATAAATTGTTACAAGGAACACAACGATATGCAATTTGTAGGGATGTGGGAGGGGTGCACGGTAAGGGGGTCTGGCCCACAGACTAATATTCTACAGATCCTACAATTCAAACGCTCCTTTCAATTCCGTCACACCAGATCCTGTGCGTCTGACCTCTATCCCCCTTCTTCCCGAACTGCTTGATAAATCCTTTTTAATTCAAGTTGTCTCCCTCTGGAATTCTATACATTCAGATATCCGACACGCGAAATCAATATCCTCTTTCAAATTTCTTCTCTTCAAACACCTACTCCATTCCCAATCAGATTAATCACGAAATGCACTTAAAAATCGAAGCTATGAGAATTTCAAAGTTCACCCAGATACTCTGATTATTTTGTGATTCATTGATATCTTGTTTACTAAATTACTTTCTCTGTTTATTTTATATTTATACACGTTTTTATATATTTTCATTATCTATTGTAATCATCCCGTAAATACTGAACTGTAGGTTATGGACACACCAGAATATTAATATACCTTCTGTATTTGTAAATTGTTCTAAAGGGACACTAGTCCCAGAATAATAAAATTATTTCCATTTCATTTCATTTCATTTTGATAAAGTTTTTGAATGACATAAAAGCAGTTATATAATAAAAGTTGCCTCTTATATCTCATTTAATTGTTATGAAACTACTGTCACCTCAGTTTTTAACTAATAGTCTTTCTAGTTTAAGTCTATATAAGTTACATTTAGTATTTAGTTACATTCAGTGATCATCTATCCAGAAATATTCAATAAATATCCAGTGTAATTTTATCTTACAATGGCAATTAAATATTTTATTTGAAAAATAGGACTTGATTTTACAAGTCTTAAAGCAAAAAAAAAAAAAAAAAAAAAAGAAAAAAAAAAGGTACTGATATGATTTTAAAAGAAATAAATACTTATGTCTGCTGTGAGAAACCCTATATCTAATTAATCAATACAATTATTTTTTGTATTAATTTTGTAAAAGTTAAAAAGTCTATTGCTGTTTACATAGAACAGGCAGTTTTCTATTCCGTATTCATTAATTGAGCTAATTTGGATTCCACAATTATAAATATAACATAAAGGCTATAAATTTAACATTTTATTTGAAAATTTCTAATATTATTTTCTAGAGGACTTACTTAAGTGCCTTTCGGGACATCTTTGAATCTTACTATTACGCGTTCATAGAGGCCTGTAAAACATTGTTTATAAGTGAGAATGTCCCTTCGAAAGCGTATGCCACACTATCATATTACAAAATTGTATAAAATATCATCTTAAACCATTTATGGACCAACAATGAAAGGACATGAGTTTTTATGAAGTTGTAGATGGAACAATGTTAAGAGCTTAAAATGAGGAATGAGTCATCCATGGGATGGACCTCTTTGGGCGGAGCAGGCCAGAGTTTTGAAAACAACTCGGAACCTGGACGATCTCAGAACCGTCCTTTCTTTAACCTTACCTGATAAAAATGACGGATATAGACAAGTGGATTAATATAGCTAAAGAATGTAAATACCTCCCTGAAAATGATCTTAAAGTGAGTAGAAGTTATAGATCAATTATTACCAAGCATAGTGTTCTTTGTTCTTGGTACAGCTATGTAATCTCTTGAGGTTAATTACAACTCAACGCACTGCTGTTTAGTTTAAAGTTATTGTTGTTCTTTTCAGAAACTATGCGATATTGTATGTGATCTGTTACTAGAGGAATCGAATATTCAGCCAGTATCAACTCCAGTTACTGTTTGTGGTGATATTCATGGTCAGGTGTGTGTTTGTCCCTGAAACTTACTGATAAATAATGATCCTAAAGGACTTTCATCCTAAGTGATAATTATTTGTTTCAGTTTTATGATTTAGAAGAGCTGTTTAGAAATGGAGGGCAAGTTCCATTCACAAATTATGTATTTATGGGAGATTTTGTGGATCGAGGATACTATAGCCTTGAGACATTTACAAGACTTCTTACCCTTAAAGCACGGTGGCCTGACCGCATTACATTGCTTCGAGGAAATCACGAATCTCGCCAGATAACCCAAGTTTATGGTTTTTATGGTATGTTTAATAGAAATAATGGTACGGATATTTAATCTGTTTTGAAGAGTTATGCTTTATTCAAATTGATTTTAGATGAGTGCTTTAACAAATATGGGAATGCAAATGCTTGGAAATATTGTTGCAGAGTTTTTGATTTGCTAACAATTGCTGCTGTAAGTGATCATTTTTATTTGAATATCATGGTAGCTTGAATTTATTAAATAATTACTATGTTTTGGCTTCCTTTCAGCTGATTGATGAGGAGGTATTATGTGTTCATGGAGGCCTATCTCCCGATATAATGACCTTAGATCAAATTAGATGTATAGAAAGGAATCAAGAAATTCCTTACAAAGGTATTTATAATTCATCTTGTTTATTAATTCATTCTCAGGTGATAAGAAGACAAGTACCACTAATTAAGAGTTTCTCTGTTAATTTTATTTTTTTTTTTTTAAGTATCGATTCATTAATTCTGGAAGTCAGTATCCATTGCAAGTATTTTTGTATCAACAGTACATTACAATTTCTCACTAATTTTTTTTTTTTTTTTTAATAGAAAAGGTTCAAACTCAGCCAAATATATAATTTTGCTATAGCAATTTAAAAAAATTATGTAAAGTTTTTAAAGCAATAAAATACCTATTTAAGGATTATGTCAATTTTCTTAATTAGTGTACAAATTTAATGAAATAAATGTAAAATTCAATTCCCTTTGTTTATTTTATCTGTTATTTATTTTAAAAACATTTTATGATTCAAGTTATCTGTGGAATAACAATGAACAAAAGAACTTTCAAAAAATGTCATTGTTTTTATTAAAACTGATGGTAAATGGAGAAGACTTGAATGTATAACTAGAGAGATTCATGTTTTAATTGACTTGTCTAAATCCAGATATTGAGTCTTTTTATTTTCTCATTTCTTTAATACGGGGTTCTCCAAACTATAGCCTCCGTATCCGTCCTGCTAAAGTTTCTTCGATTACATGTTAAAATTTTGAAAATATGATATTTGACAAATTACTTACATACGAGGTTGCTACAACATTTATTTTCTGAGATTTTTCTCTTAAGTAGCTCATTTCGCAGCTGAAGCGTCATTCATAGAACAAGGCTTTTTTTTGTTTTTTTTCACCACTATCAATGGCCTGTGGGGCTTAGGTGAATGTCTCTGTGCGGCCCGCAGAACTTGGTCAAGGTCTCTATGTGGTCTGCCAGACAAAAAGTTTGGAGACCCCTGCTTTAATATAATGCAAATAATAATAGCCAGATTTTTTTTTTTTTTTTTTTTTTTTTTTATGTTTATGGCTAAGATGTTCTTAGAAATATGTTCTACAAGTATTTTGGTATGTGAACTTCAATTTTATTTAGGAAATGAAAAGCATTTTAGATGTCCTTTCACTGTTATATAGATTGATATAAATCAGATTAAAAAAAATATTTTTATCTACATAAGATATTGACAAGATTTTATTATTAAATCTATAAACAAAAATCTATTTTTGTTTTTAAGTTTCCTCTTGGAAAACGATATGAACTTACTTAACTTTCTAATATAATCAATTAATTTGATAAGTTAGTATATTTTTTTTTTTTTAATTTCACAGGTGCATTCTGCGACTTGGTTTGGTCAGATCCCGAAGAAGTTGATACTTGGTCTGTAAGTCCCAGAGGTGCAGGTTGGCTTTTTGGAGCTAAGGTGACTCACGAGTTCATGGATATCAATAAACTTAAACTTATTTGTCGAGCCCATCAGTTGGTACATGAAGGTATGCTATTGCTTCCAACATATTCTTTATCTTTTGATGATGGACATAATTGATAATTTTATGTAGATCATCATAGTCTTGATTTTTTATCTTTTATATTGTCTTTAAAGGTCTTACATTAAGTTTTATCTATTTAATAATAATAATAATAATGAAAAGGCTTAGCGAACCCGAAGGTTCGATGCCGACACCACCAATCGCTTATTACACACCTCCCTCCACCGTTCGCCGTCCAAACCCAGTCCCTTCAGATCAGCTTTAATGCAATCTTCCCACCTTCGCTTCGGTCTACCCCTCGGACGCTTACCATTCGGCACAGCAAATATTAACCTTTTAGGAATTCTCTCGTTACTAAGTCCAACAACTTTACAAGCCCATTTGATTTGCCACGATGAAATTATCTCAATTATATTACTCGGATACAGTTCACGCAATTCGGCATTGTGTAACCGTCTGAACTCTCCGGTTAACTCATCCTTCTTCGGTCCGAATATTCTACGCAATACTTTATTTTATCCCTTAATGTAAGCGGCCAAGTTTCGCACCCATAAAGAACTGTAGGCAAGATAATTGTTTTATAGATTCTAATTTATTTATTTAATATTACAAAATTATAATATAAACCAGAAAATATTTGTATCATTAGAACTCACGAAAGAACTTGGGTTCAATACTTGATAAAGAAACATATTTTCTTGATGCGTGGGTAAAGAAAAAAAATGTCAGCATTCCCATCCGGATTTTTTTTTCTGATGAACTAATCAATTAGGTTTAGTGTTTAACATATTTTGTGGCTTCTGGATTCCCAGAATCTTCTTATGTTTACGTATAATTTTTTTTTTTCATTTATTAAAGCAACAAATGATTGCTATAATTATATATATTAATTATCAAATTTTTGTCTTATAATATTTATTGCATAAAAACGTTTAAAATATTTTCCAGTGCTAGTTATACATTTTCCCCATCTCTGGCAATTAATGAATACCATGCTTGAAAAAATGTTGCTTTCTTGTGGTAAATCAATCATCAAGCCATTTTCATAAGAAGTGAAATCTGGGCAAGTGTGTGCCTCATCGATGCGAATAAATAGTAATTTTAGATTGATGGTTGACTGTAGTGAATAATTGAAGAGAAGAATGGTTGGGGTTAAATGGTTAAATCAAAAAAATATTTAAAATAAATAATTATATTTATTTTTACATTTGCCGACTCTTCTGCCAAAAGTTTAGGCCTTCATCAGGACTAAGAAAAAAACAGATAATAATAGGTATGAGAAACTATAAACATTGAATAATAAAGAATTAAAATTAAAAATATAAAAGGTATAGACTAAAAAATGTAGTTAGAACAAATCTAAAGTAAAATACAGTAGATAGAATGAATATTTAAGAAAAATAAAGTAGGTAGAATAATAACAGTAACAGATAATTAAGAAATAAATAATAACGGCAACAAACTGGGACTAATGAAATAAACATAATCAAAATAAGGTAACATAAGAAATGAAAATGAATTATCAACAAAAAGTAGTGGAATACATAAGATCATAAACATAAGTGTAGAGGAAAAAAACAAACAATATAAATGGGGTGACAAAGTTGCTAAAATGTGATGTAATAGTATGCTAAAAGGGGGTGAGATAATCTTAGAATAAAATGAATATAAGAAAAGGAATATGAAGTTATATAAGAAAATAATAGATATAAATTGAAAATTGATATATTGTAAAATCTATCAAAACATACTGACAACGTATACAAGAATAAAAAGTAAAAATAATGTAAGAAAGATAAAAGAGCAAATGTATCATTATACACAAAATAGAGAAGGAGGTATAAAAAAGAGAGTGATGGTAAATGGAAAAGAGGAGAAAACTAAGATAAGAAAGATAAACAAATCTGATCCAGTGAAGAGCTGTCACAAGATAGACGTATTGTCGTAAGAAAGAATGGAGCTTACATAGCGCCATCTGTAATGGTTAACTGAAATACGTGAACTAAAGCATTGGAATGTACATAACGGACGAGAGGTTTAATAATACAGATAAGTTCTATGAGTTATTAAATAAATGTGTAATTGAAAGAGAATGGAAATAAGATATCTAAAGATAGTATTAAACAGAGATAATAAATATTAAATAATAACGAAGTATGACTGAAATGAACGCAAAATATGAGATTGAAGAAAAAGAATTAAAATTGAAGAGGGATTATAATGTAATATCCGTACATATATTATTACAGTAAGGCTCAAAATCGGTTTTGTACCAAATATAAGCTCCTGTCATGCTCAAATACCATGAATGGGTTACCGTTGGATTCAGAATTTCATGGGGGGCTAGCGAATCGTATTCTCCGCTTTTGTTTTTCTTTCTAAAATAAATAAATTCGATACAAACATTTTGCTAGGCTTCAATACTGGAACGGTGGTAGGTCTGTAGATCGATGTGGGACAAATTGGACCTTAAAGATTTTGATGCGTACAGCAAGACTATCCTGCGTTTTTAAGCCCAAAAACATACCATTTTCGAGATAACACAAGGCATGGTGTTCGCATCCACACAACCTGACGTTAATTGTAGTACTGTCATTGGATACATGTCTCATTTCGTCGACTTGAGGTCTCTATGATCGAGACAGGAGGAGTTTATATTATTTATCGATGATGTTTTTGATCGGTAAGCCATATCATCGTTAATTTTTCACCAAATCTCAAGATTGAGCCACCAATTTTGAAGGCTTCCTTCTCCTTCAGGTGGGAAAAATATTCCAATCACCCCGAAAATTCAGGTAAACAAGTTATGAAAAAAAATAAACTTTATTTGCGAATAACTAAAAAATTACACACTTTTCCCTTGGTCATTCACATGATTGTATAAAACGTTACTAATTTTCTACAAAAGGGAAAAAAAAATCATTGAAATCGATTAGAAATTGTTCCAATATTTTTTGTTTTTCATTTTATTATTTATTTTTTCGTATTTTCGAAGGCTTCCTTCTCCTTGAGGCGGGAAAAATATTCCAATCACCCCGAAAATTCAAGCAAACAAGTTATGAAAAAAAATAAACTTTATTTGCGAATAACTAAAAAATTACACACTTTTACATTGAAATCGGACAATTTTTCGCAAAGATACAGCTTATTGAAATTTGTAAATATGTTGGTTCCAAACAAAAATGAAGATTTAAATTAATTTTGTTTCCTTTGTGGATTATATTTATGAATAAAGTAACAATTGATTTCTTTATCTTTTGATACGTTGCATTATTTTATTTTCTTATTAATTTGTCATTTGATAACAATATGCTGTGCGAATTTTTCGCACGGGCCTACTAGTAGTATATATTAAGAATAATGTAGTATAACAATATAATATAGAATTAAGAAGATGGTATAATGCAAAGATAATAAATGTTAAGTAATAACGGGGAATACCTGATCTACATGAAACATGAGATTAAAGAAAACGAAAACTGAATTAAGTTAAATGGAAATGAGAAAGTCTGAGATAATTAATATTAAGTAATAAGAGAGTATAACTGATCTACGTGAAACATGAGATAAAGAAAATGAAAATGAATTTATTAAATAAGATTAAAGAAAACAAAAAATGAATTAAATTAAAGAGAAATAACGAAGTTGTCACCGAAAAAATAAAAAAATGGATAGGGTACTGAGAGGAACAATATTGTGAATATGGAAGAGTTAGAATGTTTTAATAAATTCAGAAATTGGGAATAGGCCAAGGATAAGTTTTGTTTGTCTGTTTTTAGATTCACTGTCTTAGGTTAGAGCTGGAAGGGGAGGGTTTCAAAAATGACTCATTTGTCATGGTTATGGAAGTTTTGTTGAAATCAAATGTATGGTTTAGGGAGAGAGAATGTTTGGATAATTTGGAGGTGGTAAAATTATAAGAGGATACAGAATATTTATGTTGGGTGATGTGCTCTTTTAGAAGATTTTTGGTTTCACCAATATAAGACGAAAAGCAATTAGGGCTCGAACACAGAATACGGTAAACAATCTGAGAGCGGTGTGAACGAGAAACAGGATCTTTTAGGGATGTGTACGAGTGGTAAGTTAGGGTTGGTATATGGTATATTCAAATATGTCACAGAAAAGTCATTAAATCTTAGGAATCAAAGTAAAAATCGAAACCTTCGTATACTCATAGTGGGACAAAATATTTCGATTGCAAACTTGGAATCAATTGTGCCACTTGAGTCCCACAAATCATCCAGATTTTTTTCCGTAGCTTAATTCATTCCTACTGTATATAACAACCCAATGAAAGCTTTGATTTAATTTATTTCAGTTGTCATTGTATCCCTTTCCCGTGAAAAAATTCCAAATATACCGCCAATCCTCAAGTTTTGGCACAACTGGATTGTAAGACTCCAAGAAACAGGAGAATATGTGAAGAGAGGTTCCTCCTCTTCCAAGCGGTATAAAAATCCATCAAATAGACCGCTCGGCGGATCTCTCAGATCCAGTGTGACCTTTGGAGTGTTAATGGTTTCATCAGGTTTGAGCAACTCATAATAGCTTATATACATCTGAATCTGGTCCTCCATGTTCTTAATTTTTTATGTCAAAATTGCCTCTATTGAATTTTTTAAACCACTCAAAGCACTCTGATTTACCAAGAGAATGGTCACATCACAAACATTCAATGCGATTTTTCAACAATTTTTATTAAATGGTAACTGAAAACTAATGCTGTTAAATAATACTTGTATTACTGTGAGTTGAAAATCTTTGCCAACTGTCGAAGGAATAAAATGATGCCAATAACGTGGTTTAACAATGATTATATTAGCAGCTAGAGCTATGTGTGGACACAATTCTGGTTTTCATATTTACACACTGCGTAATATTGAGATTAAGTTACTTTTAATTTTATCTGTTACCAGATATCGCTTTTTCAGTAATATGTATTATGTTAAAAAAATTTTCAGGTTTTAAATACATGTTTGATGATAAACTGGTAACGGTCTGGTCAGCACCGAATTATTGCTACAGATGTGGAAATATTGCTTCAATATTAGAATTCAAAACAACGGATGCCCGTGAAGCCAAACTGTTCTCAGCCGTTCCAGACTCTTTCAGGGTTATACCAGCGAGGAACACAACACCCTATTTCCTATAGCACTTCACCTCAGTAAGACTTATAATGATGGATAAACTAAGCCAAGTGTGATCTGACAGCTGTGCTATTTATATTTTTTAGTACCTGTGATCATTGAAATGTATTTATTTTATGTTCAATTTTTCAGTAGATATTGAATTGTGCTTCTTCGGGCGAATCTAATTATGAAATATTTAGATAGAATTATGTGCCTACTTTATATTTTTCTTTCCATCATTGTATATGTTGATTTTATAAACTAAGTTAGTCTATATACATTCGTGTGTCTTAGTCGAAAGTGTGTGATAGCATTTGATGTAATTTTACGAATGCAAAAGACTGGAATGTTAGTCTCAATATCATCATTAATAATTCCATTGTTTAGTGTTCTGTGAAATCGAATTTTAACATTTGCTTAATATAAGTTATATGTTTCAACCTTTCCATAATAATATTTATAAACGGTAAAGTGATTATAATAACATTAAAGTGTTGTGGTTTTAACACTTATTCAGTTGTGTTTGCTAAGAACCTACGACATAATTGCTTAATAACTGTTGAAAATTTAAATAGTTATAGTAATGATATTAAATAATCGTTATTAAGGAAAGTCATATACTATAGTTCAAAATTTACTTTTGGTTTGGGTGTACTTAATGTATTAAAATGAAAAATTCTGATGTTTTTATCAGAGATTTATAAGTCTATATTTTGATCCAATCAAAATGGTGCCTTTTTTATTGTATCACTTTTAACTTGTTACATTATTTGGAGGTTTTATTTCATCTACTGTGATGTAATCCAATATTTAAAATGCAGCATTGTTTTAGTTCTATAGATTTTAAATATCAAACTTGGGTTTTAAGCTTTTTTAATAAATTTTAAAGCTAATATTAGCATTATTATCTTAAAAACATTCATACTGTAAATTATTTTACTCATATTAATGTATTATATTTTTCAGACATATTTTCCATTTTCACCTTGCTGTTGTTTTGTTTTATATAAGAATTTAATTTTTATTTAATGACTAACTTAATAAGGATCTAGTGCCTCATATTCTTGGGCTTATTTTTGCCCTTTCCAACTATAGAAACTATTGTGTATATAAATATATATATTTATATGTATATGTTTACGTATTTCAAATGTAAGGTTGTAGTAGGCATATTGGTTTGTAACTTTGGCAAATCTGGTAGTGTCAAAGATATTATTTAAAAGAAGTTAGCTGTATTGAGGCTATTTGAAATATGTTCCGTTATCAGATGTGCAGTTATAATGATTATCTTTGGTTAGGCATTAGCTTGTTTTTTTTTTGTTATAGTATAAGGATGTTAACTGTATATATATAACTTTTTAATAACTGACTGTGGTTTAGTTATTGCTCAGACCAATTATGTGCTTGTATATCAATGAAATTTAAGTCCTTTGCATGTGTAAGTAAGGTGTAGTGGCAATTTTATACTTTTTATTAGTTCATTCAAATGCAGAAAAAAAAAATTGAAACGAACTTTCTTTAAATGTAATTAAAGTGGTAATCAATGGTTGTCAATTAACTTTAAGTATTTTTATTATTGAATACTTTATCATTTATATAGTGTTTCCAAGTCTTTTTAAACTTTTTTCTTAATCTGAACTATCCGAGTCTAATGTAGCGCCGTCCTTATCTTTCGCAAACCTTATGTGTGTAATTTAAAATTATTATCTATGGCAACCTTATTTAATTATCAAGTTTCTGTATGTACTTAGTGACAAAAGTATCCATATCATATAAATTATTCTAGTTTTCAATCGCCTAATTGTTAATAACTCTGCAGTATTTTACTATTACTAATAGAAGTCATTCAAATTTATATACATATTAATAAATTCTGATAGTATTCTGAATACTATCAGTGAAATTGTAATTGGGATGTTTAGTGTTTCCTGCTCTTGCATTTATTACAGCTTTCATTTGTTGTGAAATTGGCCTGACAAACATTTTAGTAAATTCTTAAGTACTTTCATTTAAGTTAGATATCTCTTTATCTGTTTTGACAATTCATCCAGAGTAGTTTTTAGACTTGGGTCCCTCTGAACATGAGATTTAAGTTTTACACTTTTTGGGAAATGGTGGAATCCTTTTTCTTCCTCGTGGTGTACTGTAGATCGGGTCTTGTTTTATTCTTAGTACATCACATAGATGATTAAGTAATTTAAATAGATCTAATGTTAATTTGTTAAAGAAAAGTTTCAAAGACATGGAAATACTATGAACAGAAATCATTTTCTATTCATCGTAATAAGTGCTATTAACTGAAATTCTGTGATTATTAAAGTGATCGCTACAAGTATTATAATTCTGTAATGTGTGGTCAATAGAAAAAATCTCTCAGACACTTAAGTAACATCATATATTATTATTATTATTTTACTGCGCTATCATATTTTTTTTTCATATGACATACCCTTAAGTTTTTTATAAGGAATACACATTTGTAACCATTGCCTTTATAGCCCTACTATTATGTACATAGCATGTAGTCGCATAGGTATATTTAATAATATTTTAGCTAAGTTCTGAAGAAGCACAAATAGTATTTACTGTTTGCATATGTAGATTGTATCAGAATGACTTAATGGAAAGACGGTAAACTGAAGGGTTGTTCGCAGGTCGAATTTTAATGATTCCGTAAGAGTTGTTACCAGTTGTTTTATTAGTTATATAGTTATTAGGTGAGCTTGGTTCGCTCTGGGCTGCCTTTTCGAAAATCATCCCTATCCTAACTGGGATCGTTGTGATCAATATTCAACTATTTTTATTATAGAGGCAATTTTAACCTTTATTAATCAGTTTTATGCGTTCCTTGTATTTATTAATTTTTTTTTCTTTTACCACAAATTGTAACAGTCATTGACAAAGGGACGGATGAAAAAAAAATCTAAGTAAAATCTTCATCTTACACTACACCTACAGTGAGGTAATAATACAAATCGGGTTTTGGTTGTTTGACTTTAAATTGAGCATAAGTTGAGTATCAATAAATGATGTTATTGCTTGTCTATATTGCCTTTAGCGTATTAATGCCAAAAAAATATTTATATAAAATGTATTTTTGTTATCTACTCTACTCCTTCAGGAATAGCATTTAACTCTTTGTTGTCATAACTATGACAAAAACCAAGTGCTGTGATTTTATTGAATTTTTTTTTATATTTTCAAATTTCACTATTCTTAAATATAAATAAATATAGAACAATATCTAGCAATTTTACACCTGTACTTTGTACATTTTAGTGTTGGGTTAGCCTGTTGTAATTTATTTAATTTTTTTTGTTTCTGCTTAAAAATGTTTCAATATCCAACATCTGATCCTTTTGTTAACTTTATACATCGCCTTTGTTTTTACAGAATTGTTGAGTTTTTTTATATGTAGTTTGTTATTTTTTAACTATTAAAATGGATAGTAGATAGTATTGTCATTTTGTCTTTATGTTACGGTTAAAATGTTGCGATTATATAAATTACTATTAATGGCTGTATTTATGCCTTAGAATGTATTGATGTCCTCATTAATGCTGAACAAGTGTACTTTGTTGTGGCTTGTCCCTTGAATAAAGCTGCTCACTTTTATCGTAATTCTTATTTTTTTTTTCTTTTATCTCTTTCTTTCATTTTGTTTTTATTTATGAATTTTATAGGTCTCTGAAACGTTTTGATGACCTTATCGAAAGTTTGTATAAAAGATATGCATGTCTATAATGTTACTTATATGTACATTATTTTAATATTTGTAATTAAGATGATTCTACAAAAGTATTATTACCTACTGTATATCTGTACTTAATTATGTAAATAATGAGTGAAATCATGTTTCTACAGGGTCGTCGAATTAATACTTGCTTAAAAATATTTCTATTAAGCATTGTACATCACAACTAATGGTTATTAAAAACAAATTGTGGTTAATAAAGCACTTATGGAAGGGATCTTAACATTTTTTTTTTAAAGTTATTTTATTAATTATATTTAATTCATCCTTTAAAATTTGTTTTCCCCTTTAAATTATAGAAGAGTTCAGAGCAGGATAACTGCCATTATATCATCAGCATATCCTAAGATATACAAATGATATAATTGTCCTTGAAAATTGCCAAAAAGGACATGAAAAGACTCGTTAAGACTCTGATTAGGGAAGCAAAGTAAACTGGCCTACAAATTGATGAAGATGAAATAACATAAATAGTAAGCTAAAAAATTCATTCCTACAAGAGGATCTGCCTAGTACCTAAGAGTAATCTATAGTAACCTCAATAATTGACCAACTATCTGAGATAGACCAGTGTGCTAATAGAGCTTTTTTATCTATTTAAAGGAGGCCATGAAAAAGGGAAAAATAAGTTTCAGTATCTTGGAATTTTAATTGTAGTGTTCAGTTCATTTGTAACTAGAGCTTATTCCCTTGAAAATTTTCAAGTAAAGGTTTTAACAGAACGTTTCAATAAGCATTCTGTAGATTACGGCTAAAATTCTATCTAAAATGTGACTTATTCATAGTTAATCAAAACAAACCACGCATTAGAATTATGTATAATTCATTCAAGACTAATTATAATCATAATTGCTGTTTATTTTTCATTTAATAGAACTTTTTTTAAGTACTTGAATAAATAAAAGTAAACTTTTACCATAAGACTTTATTACGAAAAAATTCCTTAGAACTTTTATTTTAAGAACTTCTTCCCCTAAAACGTTTCATAGAAACTGTTAAAATTAAACTTCCTTCCTAAAAAGTTTCAACTTCTGATTTAAAGGGAATCATAATGAAGATTTGAAATTTATGGGTTTAAAAGCATTTTTGTTGTTAAAATCAATGCAACTCTCTAGTGGAGTTACAACAAGAAGTTAAAATCGACTAACAAGTTAGTACTATGCAATGCTTGCTAAATTACATTCTTTCCACCATTAAATAAATTTATCTGATGGCACTATATTGCTTTACCAATATTTCTCTCATCCAGTTTTTTTTCTAACTTTTTTTATTCATTATTCATAAATTAAGAGAGAAATTTCTTAAAGAAGAATAATTTTAAAATGACTGTACTTATCCAGAAATGAGACCTCTGGTTATTGTTATTCTTTAAATTTGATTTAACTGCAGTACTGTAGACTGTTATTTAATTTTTATTAATCAAGAAAGTCCATTTATGTTGTCTCTCATCGTTAAAACTTGGCATGCAACCATAAAATGTTGTAGTAAGCACATGATAGGGAAATAAAATGTCTAATATCGGTTTTCAAGTTAATTTATTATGCATTATTTAAAAGAACCAGTGAATAACTTCAATATATATATAATAGTATAATTAAACATCTGAACATTAGGACAAAGTTCCAACATTGAATGCTCGCTACTTGTCACTGTTTTAAATGCAATCCCATCTTTCATAAAAATAGTATTTACATCATAATCGTATCATCTCTTAATATGAAAATATCACCAGCTTTATATTCTATTCTCCATACTACTAAGGTACATCCTTTATTTCAAAGATCTATTTCTCTAAAATACTCTCACAACTGTTTTAAACTTACAAGACTTGAGACAGCAATCGTTAAACCTATTATTTTTCTTTAGATTATGAAATATTTTTTAATGAAAGCACATTGAAAAATTGGAATGAAATTTAATAATAAGTATTTTTAAATACTTGGACATTGAGCTGCTGTTTAGCACAAATTATTTTATTTTTTCATGCGTAAACATTATTTAACAATCTTTAGAAGTGAAAATGCTATAAGAGGTGATAAAAGGCAAATTCTGAAATATAGTCGAGTAATACAAAAATTCTAATTCTCAATCCAAAATCAGTCTCATAGTCCGACCAAGGCTTTTCACAGCTTTCGTTACAAAACTTTCCATAGCCAGCCACTCTAAACTAACTTAAAACAGTGGAGGCCACAAATAATTGGCAGTAATTTCTTTCCATAACACTTAATAATTTTTGTGACACTACCACATCGATAAAGATATTAAGTTAAATCCCTTATGACACTGGAGGGAATATAGTAACATTGAACACCCAGCATTCAATGGCTATTTGCAAAATATGGTAAATTTTTTTCGATAAAATTTTTTGTACTTTAATTATTTTATACAATAATATATATATTTATATTAATCGACATTGTTTTAACACTTATTCATAAACACTGGGACAAATATAATATACAAGATATTCTTTTTTATATAGAAAATAATTTTATACTTAACAAAATTATAGAAACTAAAAATATGGTAAACACAGTAATTAAGTACATTTATAAAACAATCGCCAGATACATTTATACAATCTATTTATAAAATCTATATATATATATTTATTTATATATTCTCATATTTATAATATGTTAAAAGTAAATACTATAAACCACAGAACAATATTATGAACACAAAAGAAAAAGAAAAAAAAAAAAGATAGAGAATAAATAAATTATACAACAATTTCTTACAATAAAATACAACAACTCTACTCATGGTCATGGTAGGCTCAGTGGTATTTACAAAATGAGAGAATTGGTCGTAAAATGTGGCAGTGTTTGCCGGTTTTACCATTCGTGAGATCACATATCGTTCGAGTGGTAAGTGTCATGTGGTACATTCACCCACCTTCCTCTCATCACTCTTCGAGTAACTGATGTTTTCCATATTCTGTTTTTAGTTAACATTTACAATAAACATTTATAAGATACATGAGCAATATTTTAATTACAGACTAAATTGAGAAAATTTTCGAGAAAAACACGTATAATTTAATTATACACCAAACTATACACATATTAGCACTAGCGGATCCAGGATTTAATTTTGGGGGAGCTTCAGCCCGAAAGATTTATTTTTTCATATACACATAACGATAATTAATTTGAAAAAAATAAAGAAATTAATTACCTATATGAAATGGTGTTTAAGTGGTTCTTAAAGTCCTATTAAATAAAATTACAAGAACAATAATACTTTAAGACATATTTTTTTCTGTAAAAAATGGTTACATTTTACCATTTTGGGGGGGGGGGGAGAGCATCAGCCCAAAAGTCCACCCCGTAGATCCGCCTTTGCATATCAGTGATGAGAAAAACAAACATCTTCAAGAGAAAAATTTGATAATTTGTTCACAATCAATGTTGTCTAAGAAAGCAGCATGTACATCGAATTTTACATTTATACAACAGTATCAATATAATTCAGATTGCAACAACAGGTAACAAATCGAAAAAACATACAATTACTTAATACTAACTTACATCTAAAATACAGCTTTCAAAAGACAGCACTTTCATGCTCGAAATGGTATCCTGTACAAAAGATTTCCTTGAGATTTTGCATTTTATAGTTTTACAAATTTTTTTTCTTCTTTTTTTTCTGCACCACTGATATTAGGATGCATTTTATTCAAGAAGAATCAAACAGAAAATGAAAAACACAACTTCAAGGGGGATGGGAAAGAAGTTGAGGGAAAATGTAGCAAACAACACCAAACACATGCAGCCTATACAACCCAAACCCAACCTTAAGGTAATTCATCATTTCATAATATGATACAAAAATAATCTCATTTTAAATATTTAAAAATTCAACTATATAGTCGATTCGTTGCCAAAAGACACTTAGTAAAAACATAGCATCCAAAATAGGAGGCAATTAAAATAGCCACATTAAATGAGCATGTGTCTAACAACCAGAATGGACATTTTTTTAGAGAATGGTTTTAATTTTTTTGTACAGGGAAGGAATAAGGTCGGTTTGTTAAGTGAAAGGTTTGGGTTGTGCTGTGCCGGGTCACGCTCCTGTGCAGTCTATTTCGACGATATCTTTTGGTACGTCGACGAACTGGTAGACCAGCCTCTGACCATCCACCTTTGCCAGTATTCCTCGTTGGTAATAATACCTGCAATGACAAAGTTCACATGTTATCAAATTAGCCAAAAATAAATAAATATGTATATATTTATTATATATATATATATATATATATAGAAATATAGTACGCACCTGAGAGCTCTGCCCATGGTTTCATAGTTCATGTCTGGTTTATTCTTATGAAGACCCCAAAGGCGAGATACTGCTTTGGAATCGACCAGTTTGAAGACACCCTTCTCTCTATTGGTCCATTTGATGTACCTTGGGCAGTAGTCTCGGTCTTGTAACAGCTTTAGTAGGAACTCCCAAAGGTATGTTGTCGAACCTGAACACAGACAAAAGAAACATATTATTGATCAATACCATTCATTATATATTAATTGCTGTTATTTATATTTGTTCTTTAACTATGATAAAAGAGCACATTAAAATAATATAATGAAAGTTACCTTCGCGTGATTTGCGCTTGGGCCCAGTGGCTGTTGGACTGTCGCCACTTCTGGATCTTTTGACCTTCTTCTTCATCCTGTGCTGGAGGCCGAGCTCAAGGAGGTAGAAGTCGTCGTGAGAGCTGGAGGCGGCGGCTTGAATGACGGACGCCCTGGGAGGGGATGGTGGTTGTGGTTGTGCGAAGTAATTGGTTGGGGGTCCCATGTATCCTCCCCCTCCGCCTGTGTAAGCCTCTCCACTTTCTGCAATGCAACAATTATATATATTATATATATATATATATATATCATAATAAATAGTTTACATAACAGGGAGTACAATCAATCTTCAAGATAGTGTCGACCTCATGTTTATATTTAGGAACTTATAAATGTTGAAGGAATAAATTTAATATAAGTAGATGGTTGCCTATCTTCTCCCCACCATATCACCATTGACACCATTCCAATTAAATAAATAAAATAAAATTGTAAACAGCTCATGTTCTGGGCGCCATTTTCCAGAACATCAGTTTCTCCTCTATAGTTTGATTAATTTCAGCACTTATCATATGCATAAAAGGAGCGCCATCGTATATTTATGTGGGACCAAGTAGAAAAATGATGAAAGTCGATTTTTCAGGAAAAAATAATACAATACTTATTATTACAATAAAATGTCGGCAAACATTTTAAGTTATAAATCAGTTAATTACTATTATTGACATCCCCCAGAGAAAAATTCTACCTTGGAAAACCAACCAACTATTAGAGAAGAACAAATATGTAATGAATGAATCTATACATAGCTTTCTTAATTATATTTCTGAAAGGAAGCTAATTTAAAAGATAATTTTTTTTCGTCATAATTATCTAAAAGCCGAAGAAAAAACCTTCAGACGTAATTGCCGTTTTAAAATATAACAACCCCGAGATGAATAATATAGATCTGCGGTCAATAGCGTACTTCCGAAAGCAGGGCAGCCTCGTCCTCGATAATCGATTATTCCGTTTATTATAAATGGCGAAAGGAAGCTCAAGAATCGATGGTTCTGAGAAGATGAGAATCGATAGTTATGCGAAGAAAATATGAGACGACCTTGGTAGGGACAGTAGCCGAAGGAAGCGGAGGATGAGGGGATGGTCCACGGGTAGCGGGCGACTTTCTCCTCCTGGTCGCCGTGACCTGGTCTTCTTACGTCATCCTCTTGGTCTTGCAGAACATCGCTCTTCTGGAGGTAGGGCAGCTTCCGAGGGAAAGAAATAGGAGGCGACCTTACCACGACCATCTTCTGCATTTGCAGGAGGATCAAAAGATTTGTTCAATTTTGAGTTATGTGAGCATTTCAATTCTTGTCCGACGTATTGGAATAAAATGTGTAATTAAAAACAAGAAGAAAAAAAAAGGCGCAGGAAACCTTTACCCTTATGTGCTTTCAAAATCTGGGAAGACTGTTGCTTTAGGGTTATCACAAGGTGTGAATAAATATTTTTTATAATGCATTATATTTTCCTGTAAACATGACTTGAATGGCATTTATATTTGATAATTATTGGCCTTGAAAGTGGAACATTGTCTCTACTTTTTTTTTTTTTACTTTAATGAGGAGAGTCATAAAGCAGTAGTGGGTGTGGATGTGGATTCACAGAAACAAATTGAACATAAAAAATATTATATATATATATATTTGTATAAAATGCTGAGTTTATATGTAATGTATTTCATATTACATATCCTATCCTCACTATTCAGGAAATAGACTTTTGAAAGGAAACCCAACCAACGGCGCTATACCTCGATAATGTTAATAAATATATCTCAATATATTATTATTATATTGATATAATATATATAATTATTTAAGGGGTGGCTGCCGGACACAACCTCCCTTGAACCGTCACTAAAAATAGTTGCGGGCGTGCTGGCGGTAAATATTTGGCAAAGGGTGGGGGGTTGTCCTTGGCGGAGGCAACATGGCCGACAGCGTGCATTGACCACCCGCTCATGCTTTTCTTTCCGTTCGTCTTCCTTCGGCTCTTCCTCGTCCGCCCGATCATGGGCCTCTCAAGATTATCGTTCCTCTTGGGAGGTTACGGGGTAGGTCTGGGGTGTTTGTGCAAGGCTGAAGAGCTCTGTCGTCGAGGGTAACTCCAACAGGATGGTAATGACGGTCGGAAAACGATGATATCTGAATATTGTCGAAAGGATAAGGATGATGAAAAATTATATATTAAAAAAAGTTATTCCGAGTGAAATATTTGGATCACTGCTATTAACTGTTGGGCTAAAAAAACCAAAATAATATAACTTGAAAAAACATATAACTTCATTGGAATTTCTCATATATAAAAAGTTCGCAACGAAAAAATTGTATTATCTTTTATATTTAATATGCAACAATACTTGAATCTTACTCAAGTACAATAAATATATATATGCTCCACACAATTTTATTGAAGATGGCTACTAACAAAGTTACAAATTTCCGAAATCCGAAACGGGCTTCTGAAGAGGAAAAGAAGTTCGGCAGATTTTTTTTTATTTTTTTTTACTTTATAAGAAGAATTAAATAAAGTTTTATATTCAAACATAAAAATTAAAATTACGAACATAATCAGGAAAATTTATAATTTAATATGATTATTTTTCTGTTTTTTTATTTTTGTAAGAAAAATGATATTTAGAATTTCGCCGGTTTATTTAAAAAACGTCACTAAGCATATTTTTGATGAAAGTGAACTTTTAAGAAAGTAAATTTCGATCTTTAACTATAATGACAAAAATCCTTTTGAATATCAGATGTTACAATTTTCGGATTTAACAATTGTAAAATTCATTTAAAGATCTCAGTGATTGATGGTTATGAAAAGTCGTTTAATATTTTTTTCAATAAACCGGAGATCTATTTTTTGAAATTGTAAAAATAAAATTGTTTTCAAAAATCATGAAATATTACCGCTTGGAAAAAAACAAGCTATGCATAATAGTTTTAAGGAATCCCTACCGACGGTTATGTATTAGCCTGATACATAGTTGAAAACTAAACAGCCGAGGAGGAAGAATATAAGGAAACTAAAATGGACGAACAAGATCCGTGAGGAAAAGCTTGTTGGCTGTGAAGGAGCTGGTATTATGTAATGCTGGCCTTGGCATTGAAGCAAACGTGTGGAGGGGGGATCGTATCCGGGAAACAATTAGAGGAAAATGGCTTTTCTCATGTCTTAGAAAAATAAGATATTTAATGGGCGGGAGGGCGCATGCGCAGCAAGAATAGTATCCCCGTGCGTGAATATCAGGCACCGAATGCCTATACCTGCGTCACAACATTTAGCGGTTTCAATTTAACATTTCCGGTTGGCCTGAGTAAACGGTAACAAAAATAGAATAGGATATCAAGCCAGCATGTCCGTCCAAGGATCTGTAAACACGTGGCTCACCTAGCCATTTCTAGGTTGACCTATTATATGAGACCTTTTTAATAAAAGTGAAACGATACGTTACTTAAAAGGATCGCAGGAGCACATCACGAACAAAGGTCAGGAAATGAGACAGCGATGAACAAATATTTTTCAACCGTACCATCTGTTCGACCCGTTTACGAAACCTACTCATAACAATGTCGAAATGATAAGAATTAATAAAGTAATTATAGATTTTAGTCGCAATGCGATCCGAATATATAAAGTATCAACTACATGATGGTGGCACTTTGTATGTTTGAATATGTAAATTAGATCAAGTATGTGGGAGCTGCAATGACTGAAAGAAACGGAAATCGAGAGAAAACAAAAGCAAGGTCAAACGCAGGAAATGTTTGCGATTTCTCACTCGTAAAATTATTTATTAGTGCCTATTGTCCAGATAAACACGTGTCTTTCAAATACTATACTTCCTCAAATAGAAAAGTTGAAGGTTGTGTTAATCCCATTTTTTGGTCTTATTAAAATAGACGAACGTTCAATAATAAGAACAAGAAGGAGGTGGGAAGATACAGAGTGTACTATGTATTTATTTTGTTTTGGGGGTTCAAAGGTGGCATTTAGAAGATTGTTAAGAAGGAGGAAGCATCAAAACTACAACTTTAATTTATCACTAGCATACCACGGTGACTCTCACATTAGATAATAATTCCTCTCCACTCATACTAATCCATTATTGTACTGGCTTAAGACCTATTTGTTTGGTCACTTAGAACATTAACTTGAAGTTCTCTCGCTTACATAGGGTAGAGAAATCCATTGCTAAGAGTATAGAAATATCTGAATTTTTTTATTTATTTAGTAATAATGTAAAGTTTCTTTCTGTATTATTCCAAGTACCGAAGAGATCATAGAACTATCACCATTAGCAATGTTTCGTGCCGAAAGCCAAGAACTATGGTTTATCTCAAGAACTTCCTTAGCTTCTTTGAAACAAGGCCTACATCTTGATATCCGCTTCTAAATTTTAAAAATAAAATTTATTTTCGATTTTATTGACTTTGATACCATCTTAGTTTTGAAACCATGATATTGGAATTTTTTCAATGACTTTTGTTGTGATATATTTTGTGTAGATTGACAATAGGAACTGAGGCAACTTTGAAGGTTCGGATGGATCAGTAAGATTTTGGCTTGCACTAATGATGTGGCAGCACAAGTGGTATAGTGTCAACTTTTGTTGAAGAATACCTATTATGTATCCACCTATATAGATAAGGTAAGCTGTTTGGATGAAGAAGAAGATCCCTCTAAGAAGCTGAGGAGAGAAGATATGAGTGATTAAAAGCGGACAGTAAGGATTGTAGAGCAGTCAAGGGCAGGGCTGGGAGCTATATCAGGCGGCGTCAGTTGGCAACCCTGCGGCAAGTGCAACGACACACTGACTTTGCCCAAGGTCGCTGGGCATGCGCACCTCTTCCGCCTCGTCTCTCTTCTTCACAAATCACAAATAAATTACAACTATTTCCTCACATAACTATCATATGTATCATTTTAAGTATAATATCAAAACATACATACATATTATTGTTGGATAACAAGACGAATAAATTCGCGAATGAGTGTATTTATAGCCTTCGAAAATATTTGGCAAGAATTTTTGACTACACCTGTTTTTGAAAGTGGTTGTGGAATTAAAATAGCTTAAAGGGTATTAAATTCAATGAGTTATTTTGAATTTGCAAAATCTACAGAACGCTTGAAAGCAACAAGATCATTTGATTTTAGAAAATTAGAAGTTTCTAATTGAAGCAACCGTTTATTTAAAAAAAAAAATACCCGAACAATAATTTAAAATGAATCAAGATAAATATCAAATATAAAACAATATCTTCCCATTCACGTTTCAGCAGTGGCGGATTCAGAAATGATTTTTTTGCAGGGATTTATTTTTATTAGGGAGAGGTTTTAGATTGAAAGAATATTTTTAAAATGTCATAACAACATTATATAACAAAACACCATTAAAGATGGCTATATACACAATATAATTCCCCCGACTGTTTTTCAAGTCCTAATCTTCAAATATAGCGATTGCTTGGTACTGGCTCGGGTCCCGCTAGGAACAGCTAGGATTTCGGCGTGACGTCGGGAATAGTGTGTCAGCCCCTTACTTTTTTTCGGGGCAACTTCTGAACGTGATGTCAATGCTTTAGTAATTTCACAAATAGCTGAGTGGATTTTTATTTTCTAACTAGGATAGATGTTCAATAGAGTAGTTATGCGGATTTGATGAAACTAATCCGAAAGTTGCAAATGTTATAAATAGCATGTCATCATAGAGAATACTCCTAAGAAACTAGATGAGGTAAAGGAACAGTTAAGGAGTTTAACTACTGTTGGTTATATTTAAGAATAGACTGAGAGACTAGAGAGTGGATGTAAGGAGGTTCGACGAAAATCTGCGGCTGCGGGTGTTTACAGGGAGCGGGAGGAGGCGACCTTGGCGAGGGCGTCGTACCCCTCTCAGTCCTTTGTTAGGTCCTGGCTACACCTACCTCAACTGTCATCCTCCGCTGTCTCCTTCTCTTCATCTCAATGGCCGCTCCTGCGGTCCAGGAAACCATAACCTTCGCCGGGCAGGAAGGGCTGGTCGAAACACGGTCATTCCGCGCTGACCGTGGTGATGCAACCGGTGATGTATGGCCTAAAACTACTTCCGATTCCGCTACTTCCTGCCACATCCCGGAACAGCAACACTAGGTCAGAGTTCTATGAACCGTCCGCTTCTTGTCCCTCCGATTTGAAATTGAAATGAAACGGATTATGCATTACCATTTGAGGTCGACTCTTGAATTTACATGATTGGTTATTTAGCATCGGCGGGGAAGCTTATGTAAGAGTGTACTTACGACTCCTGGCCTGGTAGACGGTGGTCGGGTTGGAGGCGGGGTGCTGGGGCTGCTGGTAGTAAGGAGACAGGAAGTGTGCCGGGGGGTAGATCGGGGCCGCCATGGCACCTCCGGTCTCCGGGCTCCTTCTACAAGAACCTCCTGCAATCCGACAACCATACAATATTGATAAAAATCATAATTCATATTGATACAACCAAACATCAGCCAAAAACAATGACTATAGTATAGGTACCATCAGCTATTGATATCAAACCAGTAGCATGCCAAGCTGTGGCGGTACTCCAATTTTATCCTGGCTTATCTATACTAATGAAAACATTTTTTTTCTTCAGTTTATACTTTCACCTTTAAAAATACTAAACTGGTCTGAAAATGGAGACCAACGCACTTTGTAACCTATTCCAAACCAAATGTTGCGTTTTTGCATTCCTCTGGTATGAATCTATTTGGATATTCAAACAGTTTATTGTTCAGTATTCATGCTAAGTCTATATGAGAAGGGTTGTTACTGAACTAATATAGAGAGCTATTATGAAGATTGAAATGTCCGTGATTTGTCAATGTGGATGATTTCTTTTTGGTAATTCATTGTGAGCTTAGATTAGTTTTGTATTCATTTGCTGTTTCAATTTTAGTGAATATTCTCTTTGAAGCAGACTATTTCACCTTCGTTTTCTTGACAAGCCACTGGTCCAAGTTATTACAAGTACCAAATACTTGACGGAAAGTACAAATCAATTCATCATTTAAAGTTTAGAGAATACTGAAGAACTATCAACTACTTGTCAAGTATAAAAATAATTCCGTTTTACTACTACATATTTTTTTTTTTTTTTGAAAAAATATTAAATGAAAAAAAATAATAGATTTTTAGATAGTTTTTAAAAAAATAGATAAATTGCGCAAAAAAAAATCTTAATCTACCTCACACCAAGGTTCCAAAACAATATAGAAATCTACAAAGATACATTCTCAAAATATCTTTTTGAGTACTTACCAGTTTTGGTATTTAATACTGGACCTGGCATAAAAGAGAATGAGGGATTGGCAACCGTACTCGAACCGAAATGGCGGGATGACGCATGACAAATAGCTGCAAAACTTCAGTTCTCATTTACAACTCATGAATATGCAATTCATTAATTAATAAATTTGGGATGTGAAGAAGAAACATTACTCTTGTTTTGTTTTTTATTTCCATTGCATATTTAAGAGGTGTCCGGTAAGAACGGGAACGGATTGGTATCGATAAGTAATTGGATCATAATTGGTTAGATAAAAGAAGAAATTAATTGGTTTGATAATAACAATACCAAAATATGAACCAATCCGTTCCTTTGCAAGTATCTTTTGGATTTCTTATCTTTTTTTTTTCTTGTTTTGTATAACATTTCTTATAGTAATAACTATGATACAAGGTATAATAAAACTGTACTCACCCGTGGTAGTTTGTTGTTGGTAATAGGAGTGTGGAGGTTGGAGCCTCGCTCTGAGTTCATCATTGCTCGTGTGCCCAGAGCTCGAACTGTCCACGTCGGATACCCCGGAGTCCGCTGGACTGGGTGGTAGCGAACCTGCAAGAAGTCGAGCGTTCAGCTTGTAGGACAACACTAATATAACAAACAATACTCTCTAAATACCCCACCTTTTCTAATGTATATAAAAAAGTAAAAAAAGTGAATATTTCCTATCAAAGAAGTGAGTGAGTGAATTTATTTTTTGAAAAATAAATAAAAGGAAATATTGCTGAAAATAATTTTTCACGAAGAGGCCCTTTCGCGAACATTTTAATGAGGTTTGCGTCAGCTGATTAGCGTCACTTAAGTAGAAATAAATTCTAAAATATTCCGTGTGAATCTTCAACTAATTTTTAACGCAACTGTTGAACATAATAATTTTTTTCTTTTCTTTTATTATTTAATGTAAAATTTATAAAAACTTCTTAATTCTAATAAAAAATCCAATCAACAGATTAAATAAATAAATATTTATTTTTGCTTGAAACACTTCTATTCGCCTTTATTTCATTGAGAAAATAATTTTTAAATATTTAATTATAATAATTACCTCAAAAAGATTTTTTTAGTTTTTATATGAAAAAATTGTTAAAATTTAAATCGCGATTCATATTTAAATGATCGAACAAATAAAGTTAATTTTTATTTAAAAAAAAAAAAATGTGATCATAGTTGATTAAGAAATTGTCCGAGATGATGTGTTGAAGTGAGCCAAAGCGATTTTAGACAGCAATGAATTTAAATATGAAAACTGTAAAGCTTTAAATATTTAAACTTTATAATTGTATTCCTTCAGGCTGTTGCAATGTGAAAAAATAAATTCAGTTAAATAAATAAATAAAGTGACAAAATTTATTCAACGAATTTATATATATATAACTTGAGGGAAGGAAGAGAGATTTTATAAACTATATTTCTAATAAATTCCGCAAGTGGTTAACAAAATAATTAAAAATCTTTTCAAACTCAAATTCTATAGAATTTATTTTAACTTCTCAGATTTAAAAAAAAATGATATTATATCTTATATTGAAAAATTCCGAAACGTTAAATGGAAATGCCATACATAATAATATATATACATATATAATATTAACTGTATCCTGGCAATATTTAATACCTAAAAGGGTTGTATAACGCTGGTACTCCAGGAGTTGGGCACTCGACCCTGTTTCAGTTACCTATTTGTAACGGAGATAAAGCGAATGCTAACCTAGATCCAGGACCGTTTAAGAAGCTTATATAACTCCTCCGCGATTCGTTTCTCTACCGCCTCTACCATCCATACAATTCCTCGCCCATTATTTCACCTCCGCCGGACAGCTTTCTTATCCACATTGCGGACTCTCGCCGGACAGCGATAAAGCATCCTTCGTAAGGGGAAGAGAGGATATTAAAATTCTGGTCATATCTGCTCGGACAGTTCCCAGATCGTAAAGTGGCCTAATGAGTGACCGTTGGAAGGATTAGCTATTGACCAAAACAAACAGGACACAAAGGTCCTATTGTACCTCCCCGGTCCGGATGACTTCATATTAATCCGGACCGACTCCTATTGTGTTGCGCACCCTTCACTGTCCATCACTGTCTTCCGTCGTCAGCGAGGATATTAATGAACATCTCCGCGACCATTCAGGTTCGGCAGACGATAAATGGCACTGTCTGACCCTTAACGTATCTTGAGGAAGAGGTACTGGGCGTTGCGGAGAACCGTACAGGTCAGAACGGATTTTCTCAAAGATCTCCTCAAACACGGGTCAATATAGGATGTATCAGACAAACAGGCATCCGAAATCATTAGTTTAATAATTCACATTTACTATACCAAATAATTAAATAAAGTTCAAACAAACCAAAATTATTAATATTTGTTTAACGATTCAACAAGTTTCTCAAAACCCTAGCGAATTATAAATTATATCATATTTACTTTTTTTTTATTATAAAAGATCATCCCTAAAATTTAAAATATCCTTATAAAAAATAGTACTAATATTCATAATGTACGGCCGTACTAGTGAGTAAAATACAGACACCAGAATATTTTTATTTTATTATAACATAGGCGTAAAAATAAATAATAAACATTCGTATTTTGGAGAAACCCGGGATCAGATTCGTACTTTATTTTCATTTTTATTTGAATATCATTTTTTAAAAATATTTTTCTTTAGATTGATACAACTAAACAACAAACACTGCAATTAATTTAAAAGAAAAATTGAAATAACAATTGAAACGGTTTTTTAAACTAAATATTGAACTAAACTTTAAAAAATAAACGTTTTTTTTTTAATTATAGAAATCGTATGTTCATCGATAATTTTAAGGTTTTTAAACCATTTTATTTTGTAATTAATTGATACTTATTTTAGAATTTACTATTAATTGATTATTGATTTTATATATTATTTAGTGTGATGTTTTTTATTATTTTATTCACAAAACTATGCCATTAACTTTCTGAACGGGATCGCCTTCCACACTTTGTAAATAATTCACTCTGAAGATAGATATATCTAAATATTAGAAAATAATTTTCACCTGCAGTCTATTCAATTTTATGCAGGGCGGTTCCCTGAGATCTTTTCCATTTCTTTTGATCGAATTTGGGACATTATTAGGATCACTGACGGAACTCTTTGGTATCGCATAGCGTTCGCAAGATCCAAGAGTGGAAAGGAAGAGCGATATCGAAGGCAAAGGTGGTTAACTAGATCTAAGCACGGCGAAGCAAAGAGGTAAGGAGGGCTTGAGGTCAGGAACCACCGCAGAAAGTAAAACCCCTGCCAACTGGTTCCATTACATAACCCTTGCGCCTCTCCTGCTTTTTTATACCTCTTCAACCTGTTACACTTCTCCGCTGTCGCTGGCTCGCGCCGTTCGGGAGTACGGCAATAGAATATGTTAAATAGACAAAAAAAAGTAGATTTACAACAAAAAAATATGAAAAAAGCAAGTACACCTGATGTCCAGTTCTGTGGTCCGAAACATCGGGAGAGTTTGGGCACCTGTTGGTCAAAATTGACTTTACCGTTGATTATTTTATTTCGAATTAATATTATTTTTCTTTTATAAACTAATTGCAATATATCAGAGAATCTTGGGTTTAAAATTAATTGAGAACGAAATTGTAGAATACGAATAAAAAAGGTCTTCTAAGTTTCTAAACATACTTATATACTTGTATTGTTTTTATACATGAAATGGTTCCTTACGACCCAATGCTATAATAATACGTATAATTTTCTTTTAAAACTCAGATTTACAATTAATAGGTCTAATAACAAGTAATACTGTATATATCAATTTTTTTTTCTACCTGGTCTTAATGTATCTTTTTCCTGTTTATTATTATTATTTTTTACTTTTTTATATTATATTGCTATTATTATTATAATTTTAAAAACAGAATTTTAGCTTTTATATATATGGTATAAATGTACACATATTGCTCTCGATGGGAATAGATTGTATTATAATTCTTCAATTAAAAACATGAACACATTAATAATATTAAAAGAAAAAGATAATTAGATTTTATTTGATTTAAAATATAAGATACTTTTGTTTCCATTAATATGTAACAAAATGACTATTTTTTTTAAGATATGGTAACACAAAAATATAAATGTATTAGCAAATTCTGCAAAACACTAATAAAAAAATTTAGTTTGTTGTCTTTCTATAATAAATGGATCTATCGAAAAGCGGACCGGATAACAAATATTCAACTAAACCCTAAAACAACACGATTATAATTATTATCAATTAATAAATAATTAATTAATCGATTCCGAAGCGGAAACTCTCTCTCAGACCCGAAGCCGACTGGCACACTTCCACAGTAAACAACTTTGTTGTGCGGGATGTATTATTTTTATTTGATATAAAAATAAAAAGGCCGAGAAGAAGCCAAATTTAAATAATTGAAATTATTTATATAGATAAGATTTTTTATTTCAATGTATTACTATCTGATACTACTTGTTAAAAATAGAAACTGGAGCTATGATGTTATGCAGTGTAAACAAATACGTGGAACGTATCCCAACGAACAAGGAAGGAAGAGACTATCTTTATCATGGAAGTCTTTTATCTCAGTCAAATGTGGAATTGAATATCCTCAACGCCTATAGTTGATTAAACATATTCTATTATTTGACTTGGGTTGCTCACTGGCCGTTACGACTTGCGACATCGGATCGAGCAAAGGCCTGGGATCTGACTGGACGGTTATCGTTAAGACGTTGAAGGCTCTCTTTCATGAGGGTAATTGGTATGGCGCTATTTACCGTTGTCCGAACTAATGTATATGTATGTATGAGAATGGACAGTGGGCAGTATAATGTAGTATAATGTATGGATGGACTTAATGGCCAGCAGGTTCTTCGCCGGCCAGTGTCCACCCCAGGATCACCTCTGACCTCTGGAGGCCAACCCTTCCAGCTCCAGCCCAACCGACTGGAGGTTTCCAACGATTTGGCTTAAAGGGATGGTAACAATGATATAGATAGAGTATAACGGATATTTCGTGTCGGTTAGGGGGTGGTATGGATCTAGAACGACGGTTAGGAAAAATCCTCTCTTTGAACTTATAAATATATTTTTTTATACCTCTTTTTTATTACTCATCATACATCCTTTGACACTGCGCTATAAATATATATTTAAAAGTAAATTTAATTTATAATTTTTAAAAATGATGAGGTAGAATTTGAAACAGAAACATTGAACTGAAAATCATTAAAGATTAATATACCAAAATTTATGGACCCATAATATTTTATTAACTATTCTTTTGAATTGAATTTTGAATGAAAAGAATTAGAGATATTCCGAAGGATATTTAAGCTGAAATTATTTTATTTTCGTTTTGAGGAATTATTCAATACACGCCTTATACATGGGAGAGAAAATAGTAACAAATATATTACTCTTTCGGCCTTAACTAAGAACAATATAATATAAAAAATATTGAGCTAATTTTTTAAAAGAGGAAATTGTAAAAAACTCTTATTTATAAATTATTATTATATTATTGGTAAGGTGTTATATAGCTGTCACTGTTGTGTCGAAACAAAATTATCGCAAAATTGTATAAACTTTAAAAAAAAAAACACTATATTAAACATTTAATAAGTCTTATAAGTAAAATAAGACTATGGTTCATTATAACAGTTGTTATAACGCTTACGGGGACCATCAGAAATTTAAAAACAATCGATTACCGCAAAACTATTTCAATGTCCGAAGCTATGCGCTATTTTCTTATTAGTTATGTAGAGTTCCTTTGGTCCTCAAGGATCGCAATAAATAATTAAAATGACATTTTAAGTTATGAGGAGTGAATTTAAAAAAAAAAAAAACTTTTTTTCCGAAAATCAGGATGCTTGTATATTTTTCTCTATATATATATATAATATAGAATTTTTTTTCTTAAATACGCTATGTGAGCATTGCATTTTTCAAGAGGTCAAGATAGCGTATTATTACATTCTAAATCAGGTAATAAGATATTATTATTTATAATAATAATAACAATAATGAGGGACTCCACCTTCTGGAAGAGCCGAGATGCACAAAGGGATGCAGCCACCCCCTACAACTTACGACCGGTATTAACGGACATTCCGGCTTCCGGCTTGGATAATCTCTTCATCCTGGTACAAAGCCGGTACAAGTTTGTACTTGTGTACACTATCTGTACCTCTGGAAAGTGGAGGTACAAGGTACAGGTACCTACTGTACGCTTCGGAAGTAATAAATCAACACCGCAACGAATGGGAGCGATAAATTCAAGATCCAGATCTGCATTTATCTCTTGCAGGATATATTTCAAGTATCATATTAATTTAAAGGCATCATTATATTTGTGAGATGATTGAGGCAGCAAATACTACTTCAAGATCTGTAATGCCAATATATATATATATATATACTTAAAATTGTTTTCTTACGTAATTATCGTTTCATAAAAAAAAATACTTTTCGAAATGGACAAAAGAATTGTTTACAATTAGGTTAATTGTTTACATATCCAAATTATTTATTTTTAAATGTTGACATCAAAACTCATTTATAAATGAGTATAAATTTATAATGTTTTTTAACATCAATTTTATTCATTTATAATATTTTTTGCACGTTCTAAAACCAACCGAAGAAGTCAAAAGAAATGTAACTATTGAATATTTTCAGTTTAATAGTTCAACAATTTTTTTTTTAATTCTTTTGTCATACATCTTTTAAACATAATTAAAATTACTAGCTAATAGTTAATAATAATTCCTAATTTAAAACTTATTATTATTATTATTATTATTATTATATATTATATATAAAATATAATATTATATAATTTATTTAAATATATTCTAAATAAAATTGAAAACTTCATAATAAATATTTATAATAAAATGAAGGAAACGTTTATTTTTAAGATACTGTAAAAGAGGAAAATATATGAATAAGTTGATTTATAGAACTCAGTTGAGTTCTAGAGCAAATAGCAATAAAGTTTATAAATGTTATTTAAAGGAATGGTTTTTAAGAATGGTATTATGTTGTATATATATATTTTTATTTAATTTCTTTTTAAGAATCATGGTCAAATGTAATAAGCATTGATATTCTAAAAGAATAGATCAAATGAGGTAAAAAAATGTTCATGACTAATATTGATTTTTTAAGACTTTACTAATCTATGTCACTATTATAGTTGTATCTATTGAATCATATGAGTGAACTGAGTTTAAAAAAAGGGAGCATTGTTCAATGATATGCGGCGATTGTGGAAAATTTCCATAAGACTGGGGTGGACAGTAGGGAGGGTCGCAAGAAGAAAAGGACGAAATACACCGAGGATTGAATAATAAATGTTCTAAGGACCTCCCTGGGAACTACTGGGCACTGTCCAGAAGGTCGTGACCTCCCTCAGGGTCAGGGGTCATCTCTTCATCATCCGTCTCCAAAGGGTTGTCGGATAACGGAATAAAAATAGGAGGGGTGGTGTGGTTAGCTCTGGTAGCTTCGTCTCCAGTCCAACCGGACTGTCCTGTCCATTTCCTCAGCAACGGTCAGCTCTGGGGTAGATGTCCCTTTAAGGATGTTTACAGACAATAGAAGGAAGGACTAATACTACAGCGCATCATTGCCTGACCGTTGTCCACTACAAATATAACCCTAGATAATAAACTTTAAATGTTTTTATAATTTTATAAGTAAAATTCAAGCCTCATAAAGATATTTCGAAAATAAAACAATTAAACGTTAATGTTTGCAAATCGGGATGTAGTCGATCGAATCGGTTCCAGAATAAACTACGCCAATGTCGAAACAGCGCTGAGGAAAGAAGCCTTTCCCGCCAAACTGACGTCACATCCTGTTCGCGCTTATTTGTACTATTTCTCTCTAGGAACCGCTTCGCCTCGTCGAGTTAACCTCTAATAAAATAGTTTTATTATTTTCTAATTTGATCTTATCTGAATGATAATTAAATTAATAATTTAACTATACTGTTCATACAGAAGTACTGGAAAATTTAGAGGTTATTTTTTCCCCCTTCTGGTTGTATGAAGGACGATAATGGATAATGGAGAGATGAAGCGCGCTCGTTCCAGAAAATGGAAGAGGGTCGGGTATCCTTTGTAACTAGCAGTCTTCAAAAGGGATGATTTCACCCCAAAAAGGGTTAGAACCCTTTGAAGGCCAGGTGACAGGAGGCACCTTGCTGGGCAGATGTTACATCACACTATCCAGGATTGTGGAAAAGCCGACTTGGCGTCATAGGGCACGACACCTGCCCAGGCTCAGGTACCCGCCACTGTGTCTTACCAGGATTAATGATCTCCTACAGTACTTTGACTGTACTGACCACTTCTACAATCCGTCTTTCCTAATGGTGGAATTCGACACGAGCTGTACTAATATTGGGCACAGGCCTCGCGGACCGCCGTACACCGGGACCTCCGGTGTTTACGCAAGGCCGTCCCACGCAAGGGTTATGCCCAGATGCTGTTTGCGATGGGCCCTACACATCTGTACGTAACACGCAGATGCGGCAGATGCAAGGATCCACGGTTTTAGGCAATATGCCGCAACCCTTTGACAGATGCGCCCATTGTAACACCCAGCCCTCATGGCCGCCTGTTTCCAGAAATCTGGCAAAACCCTTCCACACCCCTAATCCGCTAGCGACCCTCCTAATTATTGCTAAGGGTAACTTTTTATATTTCGATGTTTTTTTGTCAATTCTTGCTTTTTAGATTCGGCACCCTCCCCTATTTACTCGTGTCGATTTCATTGTTGTGACCTCAGCTTGACACTATCCCCCCTGGAGTTTTTTTGCGGTAAATTCTTGATTTCTGTTATTGGATGTGTATAGAAAAAAGATAATATTTTACAGTTTTTATGAGCTCCTGCTGGCGTTCCCCCTACCTTGATTTTTATGGAACATTCAATGTTAACGGAAGTTAGTTCCAGTTGTTACAAATACTGATACGAAAGATAATCAAATACTATTAAACATAATTAAATAGCTATAAATAATCAATTATATTATAATTAATTTACCAGTATTGGAGGCGGTGTAGGCGAGAAGCGCAGCGTGGTGCTGGCTGAGTATCCCATGCAGAAGAGCTTTATGCTCCTGAGGTTCTCTTTTCACATACACTTGAGGAGTAGGCCCAGCGGCTGTATCAACTGCAAATACAAAAACGAAATATTAGCATACACAACAGAATGATAAAGTTTCATTACATATAAATAATAAACAGTTAAGATCACTTCAACTAATAAAAGAAATAATAATAAATAAAATAAAAATAGAATAACGTAACTCGATGAAACTTTAAACATTACGGCTAAAGCTACGGGGAGAGCTTACTAATATCCTTGTAAAAATTAAATGGGGCAAAAGGTTTCCCTTTTTTTAGTAAACGAGCCATGCGCCTGCACGAAAAAAAAAATCGAAAAAAGGGTGAATATAAGGGAGAAAAAAAAAAAAATAGAAGTGGGGTTGAAAATGGGAAGAGGGGAAAAAATACGCGATCAATCCTTGAGAAATGAATCTCTGTCACTTCCCTCAGCCACTGAAAGGTTGCCATTTTTTTTGGAAGTTTGCCTATAGCGGGGGTGAATGGGGAAGGGCGGGGTGTAACACGCGGGGTAAAAAATGGAGCAAAAAAGATGAATAGGAAAAAACTGTGTCGTAAGTAGCGTTAAATGGGAAAAAGATAACTTTTTTTTATTAATTACACGCTGAATTTATAAAAGTATTATATTGTACAAGCATTGCATAGAGGAACTGTGATATGTTTTAACAGAACATATCCAGAAAAACTGACAATGGATTTTAAAAAGTACAGCAATTTACCGAGGCAATAGAATACTCAATTCTAATGACACTCTGAATTTTTTAGTCTTGGCAAAGATGCTACAGGCTGACGCAAACTTTGGAAATTTGGGTCAACACTAGTAGATAACCATCTGGTGCTATCTCAGCGGGGAATCGGGAGCCACTTCTGGCTGTCACTGTCGCACATCAGGAATACCTTTCTAGTTTATCGCTACTCTTTCTGGGTCACATCATTTTTCAAAGAGGTATAGTGTTAATTTTATGTATCTGTATGAAGCATTGTATGTGGTAGGGCTTCATTGCACGTTACATCGAAAAATATGGATAAAATATTTCTTAAAGGATAAACCTAAAGAAGAAGTGGAGTAAAAAAGAGCTTGTTGGAAATGGGCCAGAGTTATTTTTTATTTACGGCTTCTTTCCTATTTTTTTTTTTTTTTTTTTTTTTTGTCGGTAATGATTAATTCTTGTTGACGAATGTAGAAGTTTCAAGGCACCGTAGGTACGGTTACAGCCGCTAGCACTGCTTTTCACTTTAGCAATACAAGGAACTGGTCGATGGTTGTGAATAAGTGATTTGCAACGGTCTGTAAAAAGGAGTCACTTTTACCGTAGTAGTACAACAAGGCAGAAAGGGAAACGTCCACATAAATCGTAAATAATGTCCAACTAGCCCTAACTGTCCTGTGGGCAAAGGTTGAGTTAGATAAAGTTTACGAGATACATTAGCGACTTTTACAGAGGGAAAAGGGTTGCAGAAAGGGAAGAGGGCCTTTGAGAGTGAAAGTTTGTGAACTGCTCTTCTCAGAAATATTTTAAAATGCCTTAAACACAACATAATACCGTTCCTTCCCGGAGATTCACTCTCTAAAGCCATAATTCTTATTTATAGTTATAGTTAGAGTGCTACCAATGGGTAGTTTCTCAACAAGCGTGTTTCATGTGATAATATTCCTATGTACACATTTACTTGATGTATTCATACGAATACAGTTGTAAATATCATAATAAAAGTTAAAAAAAAAAATAGTTATAGTGTTAGACTTACAGTGTACATTTGCTCTGTCATCTTTATTATAAATGTTCTTCATTGCGACAGAATGCAATATTTTTCAATAAAAAGTATTTAATATAAAACCCTAAATTAAAACCTAAAACTAAACTAAAAAAAAAAATATTCAATTTTATTTAAATGTGTATTTTATTTTTAAATATAAATAAAATGTTAAAACAAAACAAAATAACTTACAATTTTTTTTATTTAATTAAAATATATATTTTTTTAAAGTAAGGTAGCAACGTATAACGGGTTCAAGAAGAGATCATTATTTAAATATTTAAAATAAAAAAAAATTATCAACCGTTTATTGTAGTTGATATCCGATAGATTAAACACACGAAGCCATTTATGAATAAAAAAATAGTTCTTACTTAGCAATAAATAAAAATAGTTGAAAAAAATAGCGATTTTCAATCAGAATTTCGTTCACATTAGTTTAAAAAAAAAAAAAATTATAGAAATCCCTATATTTAAAATTATTCAATACTTCAATTAGAAAATATGGTCAAATTATGCCAGTAAATGTAATTAAAAATGTACAAAATTAAAAAACAATACTTTTTTAATTCCGTTTTATTTTTTCATTAGTCGGTAATTTCTGGGCAAAAATAATTTCATTGAGTTTCTTAGAAGTTTATTTTATTTTTATTTAATGTTCTTTACAATTAAATGACTAGTTACAATACTTTCGAGTTTTAAATATTTTAGATCAGACTTACTTGCTACGATTTATAATTGTTACTTTCTGATAAGTTTGTTTTATTACTTGTTAAGTTTTTCAAAATCATGTTTATAGGAAAATTTTAATTCTGTTTTAAATATTCTATATACTAGTCTGAAACGACAAGAAACCGCTCGACGTTTCCGATTACTTCAGCACTTACTAGACAAACGCTCTAAACTTCCAATTAAATACAAAAGACTCATATATTTGACTGTAATAAGGCCTATTTGGACTTACGGAGTTGAGCTATGGGGCTTCACTAAACCATCGAATTCCTCTCGTATCCAATCATTACAATCAAAAATCCTTCGTAAAATCCTCAATGCTCCTTACTTTGTTACAAATAAAACCATCCACAGATCTGGCCCAATCCAGATACCTATCCTTCCATAATAAACTTCAGAATTATCCCAACCCTCTCCTTTCTAACCTTGCTTCCTCTTCAGTTCCTGATAACCCTCCGAGGCGTCTGAAAGTGCGCTACCATTGGGTAGTTACTCAGCAAGTGTCTTCATGTCATTATATCCATTATGTTCAAATTTAATAGATGTATTTATTTAATACAGTTGTAAATATCATTAAGAAATAATAATAAACAAAAAATATCCTATAAATGTGAGTTATCAGAGGTAGTTTTCTCCTCTCTCCCAAAATAGAATTTCGTCCTATATAGCTACTTAAATTATAAAATAAAAAAAATATAATAAATAAAAGAGAGACAGTTCGAAATAAGAATATAATATTTTGAATAGTTTTAAAATACATCATCTGTTTTTTTTATCTATTATAAAGGTTTGATTTATTGTTAATATTACCTACCATAAATTATATATTATTTTCAGTCTGATATTGGATACCATACTAAATAAATAAAAATAAGATAATTCAAGAGAAATATATAATATACTGAATAGATTCGATGATTTGTTTTTTTAATTTTAAACAACTGATTTCTTATTATTTATTATACATATCATCATATATTATTAGATATAATAAATATGTATTATTTTTAGCCCGGTAGTGGCTACACTATGAGAAAGTGGGGCAGCAACTAGGAAACCAGATGAGGGAAAGTCTAGTGACGAAAGGGGGAATCCTTGGCCCACTGGGACTGCCCCCAATAGCTCGGCTACGTGTTCCATATCGCCCCTCTTTAATCTCCAATACTCCTCGTCATATATCACTAATTATATAATATCTATTACAATTGTATTACTCATTAGTCGGGGCAGATAAACGATAATCGAACAAAGAAAATACTGAAAAAAAAACATGTAGGAACCAGAGAGAGAGAAAAAAAAGTACTGTCGTTTAAAACAAGAATATAATTGGAATGAGTAAACCTAAGTATTAAGCTCTTTTTTAAGACCATATATATAATGAAAAGAATAATTTAATTTCAATTTGATAGTGAAAAAATACTTAATTAATACGAAAGGAGGAGAAGAAAAATTATTATAATTATATTATTATTACTCAACATTACATAAAAAGTAATGTGTGATATATGATGCATATTCATCGTTTATTCTTATTCTTCAGAATCGATTAAAAAATAGAATTGAAATTTTATTCAAATGATTGTAGAATTAAACTGGTAGAAAATTTGATTTTTATTAATATATTCTTAAAGGATTCAAGGATTCTGATATATATATATACATATATATATATATATATATATATATATATATATATATATATATATATATAGCAAAAATATATACTTTCATTAAATTTAATAATGTGAAAGTCAACCTGTCGAAATATCCTATTTATTGTTAGTAGGGAATCCCTAATTATTTATATATAGTACCCTAAAAAAAATAAGATGTGGGCGTAATATTAAATATAAATTATAAATAATAGCACATTTTAAAGGCGATGAAATGCACAACAAATCCCTCGCCTACAGTATGCAGGTCAGATTTTTAGTTTCTGAGATATTTTAATCCATATGGAAAAACACTTTAGTCGACTCCAGCCGAATTTACCCGAGCTTTATACATCGGAAATTTGACGATTCAATCTAATCTCGGCTCACTCTCCATAAAAGAAATTATCACTTAAAAAATAAATAAATAAACTTTTTTTAAAAACTACATTTCAGTCAAATAAAAAACCATTTCGAATACATGTAATGTCGTTCTAATCTGTTTTATCATAGAACAAAAACTCTCCAAGCCAAATTTTTATTAATTTGAAATATAGTGTTAATGAAGTATTATAATGCCAAGCTATTGCTATATATATATTTATTAAATACAATGGCATTTTAAAATTATTACCTAATAAAACTTAATGGGCGATAAATATTTAAGACGCAGTCGTTATGAAGTTTTATTAGTGCTGACATTAGTGAACATGTTGGTCATCATTATGGGCGTGTTTCGAGCACTGAAGGTATTCAGGTACTTAAACCTTACGCAATAATAGTTAAAACCCAGGTATGCTCGTGTTATTTGACAGCAAGTTGTTATTTTGATTAGTTTTATTCTTTATGTTTATATAGTTTTACTTTTAGTATTATTATTTTTATGTTTTATTTATTGTAAAGAGATTGCAATATTTCTCAATGAAAAAAATATATAAAAATTACTGTTTCGTTATCGTTTCCGCCATATATTTTAATATTAAAGTTTAAAAAGAATGACTTTACCAGTTAATGTTAAAATATTATATTATACGTACATGTTTATTTAAAAAGATAAAATAATATAATTTAGGTAGTTCGTAAATGTATATGTATTTTTATATCCGATTTGTTCTTATTGAACTATAAAATTATTGAACTCATATCTCCTAGCTAATATCAGTAATCATTAAATTTAAATAAAACAAAATTTAAAAAAAAAATGACAGAATGTGACTTTTTTAACAATTGATTATTTTTAATCTCAAACTTCTCTGTCTATAGGCACAACACAAGATATGTTTCCAAATTGCAATGTTACTCGAGTACATTTTTTTTTTATTGATAGAAAAGCAACAGTGTTGAAGGAAACGTAAAATGGATATCTTTCAGCGACTTGGAGAATCAGAGCGGATCGTTCCCAACTGGTGAGAATCGCTTTCTACAGCTTCTATAACGACGTGTGTTAATTATATCCTTTAATGATAAGAAAATATTTCCGACGGCTAGTTCGGGGGGGGGGAGGGGAGGAGAGGGATATCTGGACGGACGACATGATGCCGAATGCGGCCTTGGAGAGGAAACGCAAACCTAGCGGGAGCTATCGGTAAACACCCGACCATTTCCTCCTGCGTCATTAACATTCTCTCTCCTGTTTACTGTCTGCCCATCAACTACTATTATATATATATATATATATCAGGGCTAGTCGAGATGGACGATCCAAACTCCAAGAGTGAATTGAATTCCACAATGTAAAATAATTAAAAGAAACTCAATATTGTTATCTGATTTTCATTTGCTTACATTTTATTGGCTAACTACAAATAAATAAAATTTCACAAATAATACAGTATGTCCTACATGTATTGGCGTCCTATATGTATTGGACTCGAAAATACCACAATCGAATTCTCAACGTTTTCGGCTTCGATAAGTCGATAGTTACCATCCTGACTGTTTCATATCTTTCTTTAATGTCGCCTGCTTATTTTCACTGAGTTGAATTAGTCCATCCTATGTCTATTTTTACTTCGTATATTCCATCTTCGAACCAGCTAGATAAACAATAATTCAGTACTATGAGGGATGCAGATCATGGAGGCAAACTAATTAGACTGCGGAATGTTCAACTATCTTGAAACCATCTATACGTTTAAAAAATGTTTTGAAGTCAATAGTGGTATTTTAGAATAACTTAAAATAAGACTTCAGTAACCGAAATGCTAAAGGAAAATCGGATAGGAGCATACGGATAGGTTTACCCATTCGTTCCTCTCAAATTTATATATATGGTTAAGTCTATTAGTCAAGGGGGAAGTTCATCACTATAGAAGAAAAAAGGAAAATCTAGGGCGCGTAATGCGGTTGACAAATCAACTTTTTTTTTTCACTACCCAGACGGAGGTTGTATAAGTGCTTGTTACAATAAGGCCCAGTTTTAGTGTGAAAAATTTTCGGGAGGAGGGTGGGGGAGGAGCTGTTAGTTACGCGGACAAGGGAAAGTAGGGAATGAGCGGTCGTAAATCAAGATCCGGTCAGTGGGTCGTACATTTACGATATATTTTGACAGGGGAGTACCCGCACTTGTTGTGTACACTTTCAGGGAATCTGTGTCACATTCAGTGCCTTTTCACTTTTCCACGAACCATTGGACATAGTCTATTTTTCTACAGGCAGAATAAAGTACATGGGGAGGAGGAGGCTTAAACGGCTTTTTCTCAGCCTCACACACACACACACATACCCGGACTTTTTTAGAAAGCTGGAGACTTTCGCTTGCACCTGAAATAATTGTAAGAGGCCTCTAGTACAATGCCCGACTTTCCAACATTGTTTTTAGGAAAAAAAATGTTTTAGTATACAAAAAACTTATTATAAATAAAATTTCGTCAAAGCAATGCTAAAACCTAAAAGCAATCGTGTTTTCAAAGCATCAATGAATTATAACAAAATTTCTTTTAGTTTTTTTAATGCAACAACCTTTCTTCAGAGAATGAAGCAGAAAGAAGCAATATTTTTGGCATTTCAAATAGTATCCATTTGTTATATGAGAAAAGAAATGGATGCTATTTGAAATGTGAAAGACCTAAGACAAAAACTACTTGTAAAACCGATTTTTCAAAATTTTAAATTCACTATGTCGCTCGTTTTTATTACATGCTTTTTGTTCTTTAAAACGTAACGATATAAGCTCTTTAGTATAATATGATAAAGGACTATTATAATTGTAATTGTTGTATATTACAACAAACCATTTAAAAATCTCTACAATTACAAACCATGGAGTACTTTGACCGATGAGGTTTTTCTTCTTGATTAATTAATGGTGATATAATAACAAATTAATAAACGCTGGGTGTGCTTCAGTAGGGTCAAGATAGGCTAGGAGCGCAGTATTTTAATTACTGAACTTTGTAAAGTAATTATAAAAATTAATTATTCCCTCTCAAACGTTGAAATCACATCATAAATTAATATACAAAAAGAGACTTTTCGAAAACAGTTGATAACGACGATGGATCAATATTTTGTAAAATGGAGTTGAGAAGTTATTTAACTACAGATATCAATTATTAACTCGAAGAGAAGCGGATCATTTCAAAACTATATGATCTAACTGAGAGCATTCTTCGAGCAGCCGTTTGTCACAGTTTAGCCTCAACTCTATTGTACGCCCGATTCGAGACAGAAACCCACATAACAAACATTCCTCAGAGTCGTTCCACAACGTACTGATAATCTTACGTTGAGAGTGTCATAACGCCGTCTGCGTCACTATGTCACGCCGTGACAGAGAGTTTTTGTGACTCCGGTGGTGAATGGTTTTTAGCGCAATCGAACAAACTTCATTATATTTTTCCCGACTGCCGATGATATAAGGAAGAAGAAAGAGAATCGGCATGTCCTTGCGCCAAGAGGAAAATAACAAGCTATGCTGACCAGACAGACTCAGAAATCCAACCTCCAGCTCAAAATATGAATGGCAAAGCAAGCTAATTTTTTTTTTATTGAATAGTTTGTAATGCTGGTTATTTTACAATTTAACCTAATTCCACCTGGCATTAATTTAGATACTGAGGAAACAATATTTTTTATACATACAGCTTATAACCTACAACTAAAAGTGATTACAATAAAAAAACGCCCAATTAAACAGAAACCATACAATGCCGCATAATATTTTCCAACCTTGTAGCTATTGACAACAAACACTTCATGTTCCGCTGATTAGGTACGATTCAATAATTGCTGATGAGCTTCCTAATGAGTCTATGTATTCGGACAAATAAATAATATGTATGCGTTCCGTAAAACACCGATGTTTTCACTCGATGTCGGCAGTACGACGAATCTGCTCCATTTGGAACGTGTTCTTTTTCCCGCTTTTTTTTTTTGTGCACCTTTTCATAGATTTGTCGCGCTTTTTCCTCAAGAGAGAAGGAAAAAAAAAATTAAGAATAAGTTGTTTAAATTACGTCATGATCGGCGCTGAGTTTAGCCACTAATCGAACAAGAAAATGTCAGCTCATTATATTATACAAATTGTGTATGAATACAAAAAAAATTTAGAATAAAAAAAAAATTCGTTGTCCATAGTACCGAGAATGTGGGTATCCAATACAATTCCTAATTATCTAAACTACATTAAAGAGTTTATTACAATTATAAAATAATTGTTAAGCAATTAATTGATATTAAAAAACAATTATCAAATATTTTAAATTCATTTCGATTATAATTTCTCAAACGATAAAATAATATAAATAATGTTAAATTATTTATGCACTGTATATTTCAAATAATAAAGCCTAAGGAACATTATTACACTTTTAGTTATTAGTTTGCTATAGTTTCTGATTTTATTTAAACTATTTTTCATCATTTTTCAATTTTTTATTTGTTGAATAATTATACTATCTGCCACATTTAAGAACAATAATTATCACGGCTAAAGATACCATCCGTTCAATAGAGATGTACTTTATAAAAATAAATATAAATAATTTAAAAAAATAAAATATAAAATAATAATAAAATAAATTATCTTCAATAAATTCATAGCTATGTCTATTAAAACTAAAATTAAAATAGCACATTTTGTTGGAACTATTGTAGGAATCTTTTCCGGGTTCGGAGCGTTGACTGTTAATTCTTTATAACCTTAGTTCTATCATTTTTATTTTCCTTTCTGGCTATTGAAGGCAGGGAAGCTTTGTATGTTTTTTCAATTTTTTTTTGGATGACCTTTTGAATTTTTGAAATGTTGCCAGCTACAAGCAGTTTATAATGAAGCCGCACAAGGAATATCCGTATGTTGGAACGAACGCCCAAAAATGATTTGGATAGCCGTGAAAAGAGGGTGAAGAGGAGACTAAAGGAAACGAAAACAATTTATATCCCCATAATTCGAGAATGGTTTAGCATGATAAAACGGATATTACCATTTCTACAAAGGGAGCCTTTTGGGAGGCACAATGGCATGGGACCGTGTTGGCAAACTGGGGTCACCGCTGACCGTTGCTAGATCATAACTTCCCTTTGAGAAGGATAATTGCTCTGAGAGGGTCCTACTGCGAGGTGTCCATCGTTCGTCCTCAGGTCCATTCTTCGGACTACGATGTAGCCACACAATGGGGTATCGACAGCTCTTGAGGAAAGAGAGATGAAGAAGGCTGTGTGAGTAAGTGTGCCAGTAGCACGGCAGGGAAAGTACAGGAAATGCAGTTGCCGGGGAAACTAACACTCTCCCTGGGAGCTGGTGAAGAAAGTCTTGGAAGCCGGCCTACTATTGGTTCTTTAATAGCCATCCTCTCCCCGCCAGCCAATTAAAACACTTCGCTTTCTTCCTTTTTAATAACCCTAGTGTGGATATTGCGCTTGAGGCTCTTCTCGTCCTAATTCCTCTACATGATTGATCTCATCTCGAAGGAAATGGAAAAGTTTAGAGTATGAAGTAGTTCGCTGTACTCCTTATATCAAATTATTAAATTAATCGCTTCATTTTTTCATAACTTACAACTCTTTAATTCACCCAAATTCTCAGTATTTGGATGTCTTCAATCTAGAGATCGCTAACAGTGTCAATTTAATGAGGTACTAAAAACACATAAAAAACGATATGTTTTCCACTCGAATTGTAAGATAATTTGATTTGGGACCGTTGAAGCCTGTATAACCTTGTTATTTTGACATGTTAGGGCGGAAGTAGAGCCAAACAGTCCAATATTTCTGTAGGTAATAGTTTTTATAGATTTTTAATTGTATTGGTAATATTTCTGGATTCAGATTATCTTATATTTCAAGAGGAGAGCAAGTGGTTGTTCATGAGTTTTTAGTAACCTATTAAATAGGCAAAGTTAGCCAGTCTCCATTTTGAAAACGCCTCATTTCCGAGTATTTTCATAAATAAAAAAGTTGCAGGTAACGATAAGATGAAGCTATAGCTATCAAGTTTTAGCTGAGTGTCAATAGTTTGTTAAAAAGGTATCTATTATTTAATTTTTATACACGGATTCGATTTTTGTGGTTTAACCAAATCCTCAATGTTCCTTTTATTAATCCTATAAAACTACCCTACATTATATTCTTATTTTCCCATCGTAAGCTTGGCAACCAACTACTTTCTGACCTTGCTTTCCCTAAAATCGATTCCCTAAAATAATTCCCAGGAGGGAAACGGCTACTCCTCATCCTTCATGTCCTAGACAATTTGACCCCAGTACCCCGGACAATCGATAGGATACAATGCACGAGGACGACCGCCCCCAGAGCAGAAGAACAGCTGAAGGACTCACTCTCACTTCTATTGAGCGGGGGTGGGGCGGTGACGTCGGGGGCGGCGGTAATTATACAACCTGTGGAGCCCAACTGGGTCATCCTCGGGCACGTGGCCCTTCGCCTTCCTAGAACTGGTGCTCAATCGATTCTCGCTCCGTGTAATTATTCCTTTAAACCCGGGCTTATATATTCCCTAATATATCCCCTATATAGGTTTACAAATTATATCTAGCATTGAAAAAAAATTAAAAATCATTAATTTTTTCAAAAAGTATTATTTTCGAATCAGAGAACATTTTAAAATTGATTACAGAAAAAACAAAAAAGAAATTTAAAAATATAAAATCCATATAATTCAAATTAGTTATTTTTTAATTCCACTAATTTATTTTAAATTTTATTTTATTTAAAAATTTATGTAATTTTGGCAATTTCATTTTCTATTTTTTGTTATTTGTAATTAAATTATTTAATATCTCAATAAATAAATCTATAGACAATTTTGAACACAGAATTTAATTTTTTAAATGAAAACATATAAAATTCGTAATGTGAAAATTAGTTTAAAAAAAATTATCTCGTGACTGGAACGATTATTTCTGTACACAAGTAGCTACTAATTTTCCAAAATCAAATAAAAAAAGTAGCAAAAATTTGCATGATGAATATTTCTTTAACCTAAATTTTCTTTGAAAAAAAAAACAAGAAATCTTGAATGTATGAATTTATATAAAAAATTCTGATTTGAGATTTACAACCTATATACAGGAGGAGTTTACCTGCCCAGTAAATTAAAACGCCACTTTTCCTGAATAGCTCAGCGTAAACATAGAGCTGACATCGACAATAGATTCTATTGACCTAAACCCTTCCCTTCCCCAGTGCCCGGATGGATATCCACCGGCGATACAACGATGGGTCCAATTAATTAATCGAGAGATGTAATAAGATGGGTAATGGACCCTTCCTTGGAAGGAGGATGCTGTTAGGGGTGGTTAGGGGTGAGTGATATTGATCTGGCCTCACTTCCGGGTAGGTCCAAGGCCGCCGCCATGTTGGACCCGCGTGCCAATGTCACGGTCCCCTCCCCCCCTCCGTCCGAGCCCAGATCAGCTGATGGTCGTCTCCGGGCCAACGCCGTTCTCAACTTGGGGCGAAAACTCAACAAGCATCAAGTTCCAAGCCGAAATTAAGTCCATCGGGATAGACATTCAACGAAATCATTCTCGTACAATATAGGCGAATGTAGAATGTAGTTAACACCAAGATCTTACAAGTTCCTAACCGGAAATTACATGAGATAAGAATATATTGTTTTAGATTAATTTATTCAGAGGAATCTAATTACTTTGACGAGCGCTGTATGCAATAATAGGTTCTAGTTCCCGTTCACTACTTCCCATTTCTTGATCACTTTAAGAACGCTAATCCTGCATACCGAAAATACCCGAATGTGTCCGAAAGAAGATGGAGTCTGCCTATCCTCTTGATTGTAAATTACTTACCATTTTATGAGAGAAATTTTCACTCAATGATAATAGACTGTTAAAATATTGAAACAAATATAGTTTTCAGGATTTCGATTTGATAATCAGATGATTATTAAGCAATAAGAATAAGTAAGATGCTATGAATTTTCGCAGTGATCAAAATATTTTCTTAATCATATTATTTTATTATGCGTATCTATCAATATATCTATCAGAGAGGAGGGTAATTCTAATTTGAATATTGTAGACTTATTTTAACTACTTATTTTCTTCATACCCATCACTGGTAGCGAGAGTTCTAATTTAATTTAAATAACGTATTTTAGCATTTTTGATGAAGGCAAGCGCGGTTTTTGACAAAAAATGTTTTATTATTTTGGATACTTATATCGTATTGGTAAGGCAAGAATATAACCTAACCTAAATAGCACTCATAAATCAAGCTATTTCGGTTGTAAACAGGACTATCAATACTCGGCTACTTTCGGCATTCATCGGGAAGCTGGGAGTAGCGAAAGTTGACCGGCAACTAATATTACATCGTTGAAATACAAAAGCAGGCACAACATACATTTTAATAAAAAACTATGATGAGTATGAATATATTTCATGATTAACTTTGTGGCGTTCGTAAGATTATGAACTATGGGCTGTTTATATGAATGAAATTGTTTTATATTTGTAGTTCCATATCATAAATGCCATATCCTTTTCCAGCGCTACCAACAATAACCATTATGTAAATGGATAGCCCCTTCCAATCACCATAAAGGATTTCCTGCCCCCTTCGGGTACCGTTGCGTCGGCGGTAAGCAAATGATAGTGGATTGCTTAGACGGAGTGAGGAAAAAAACTACTGATAAAAAACTTAAAGACCTCAATATAAAAAAAAAAACCTTTCATCGACCCCTCATTTGGAAGAACATTTCCCTAGGGTCAGGTATAAAACACTAACCCTACCCTTATCTTCAATACCGCTTAAAATGTTGACACTGACATAGTCTCTCCACCCGGGCCAGGGTGGCCTATAAAAAAACCTAGGGGTGTTACGTTCCTAGACAAGTCTGTGGATTACCATGTTAGGTAAACAATCGTGAGTTATTTGAATTAAAGGTTTAACCATTAATTTAATTATTTGAAAGAGCCTGTGATGGTACATTATAAAAAAATCGAGAATTATAAACAATTTCTGGTTGCCATTCTGACTTAAGACAAGTTTACTTCAAAACCTACCTTTTCATATTAATAAAGGGGTCTCATGAAAAAGTGTTTGAATATATTAAAATTATACGACGATGTAATGAATTTAAAAGCACCTATACATTTTTTGAATGCTGGCTTATCATTATTTCTATTTTTTTAAATATGTCGATTACTTATTTTCATTATTTCTATAAACTCTGTTTCTTTTTCCTTTTTTTTTGTACTATTTATTGTACATATAGGTATAATAAATGTTTTGAAACCATCTTCAGGATTTTTTTTTTACAGTATTATTTGTTTTATATAATGTATCTGTATTATATACTTATTTTTTAAAATTAGATAAATAATTCGGAGAATTATACGCAGAATGGACAATATGATTTATACTATACTAATTACACGGACACCAGAGTTTTCAAGTTTTTATTTTCAGTTATTCAATAATCATAAACACTATAAGTCGTTTATGGAATAGACAAGTAAAGTTTACCAAGAAGATTGTGAAATAAGAGTATTTAAAAAACGTTTTACAGTGGATTGATAATAATAAAAAAACCCAGATTAATAGTTTTTTCAGCACACATTGATTATTGGCGATCCTCAGATCTTTGTAGGAGTTCCAGTATTTTCGTTGAGCTTTATCAACACTCATTCCTCAGTCCTTCCTACCTGAAAGGTTCTATAGCGGAGTTCACACGGACCCTTGTAATCAAGCAGGCCTAAATATATCAATCGTTAAAAGGGAATCAATCGATGGTTAGGATGCTATCGATGGTACAATAAAGCTCTCATTCTTCCCGTGTCCTACAATAATGGGATGGAAAGATGCAAAGACCCAACGAGACTGAAGCAGCTGATATCCCTTCCTCCACTCCCAGGGATATCCAGATAACAGGACCGATTGAGAAGACTGGATAATGGCTTCGGTAATGTAGTCTTAAGGCCCCTTTTTTTATCATCCAATACACCCCCAGTCGTGCGGTTGACCCAAATCCGTTGTTGCCCTACCTGAGGGTACACGGCGGAGCTGGTTTTTTAGGCAACCCTTTAAGGGCGAGCTGGTAACGGCCTGGGAAGGATGAGGGGGCGGTAGACCCAGGAAATGTGGGTCAGGGAAGAACTACCTGGATAACGGCATTCACTCGGTCAAGGCTAGAGAAAGGGCCTCTTGTCATTTACATAGGCCCACCACCACCTGTGTAGGGCCTCTCTCTTCTCTCCATAAAGGGCATTCCTCTTTCTTAATAACACCTTATAAAGGGATTAAATATTATATCATAAATATAAGATTAGCTATCGCTAATAATTATACTTAACTTCAAACAATTAGGATAAAAATTAATAAAACTATTATACATGTTACTGTTAGTTATATAAATAAAACGGCTGTGCCTGTTTATTTAAAGGGAACAACGACTTGTAAGAATTTATATTTATTGAACATTTCGAAGAATTATATGGCGAATGTTGAGTTTGATAAATATTACTCATCACGGTTATTGAAACGGGCGCCAATATTTTGTGTATCAAATAAGGAATGAATCACTAAAAGCTTAATACATCGCCGAACCGACAGACAAACATCTGGATCTATCGAAACATATATTGGAGTATTGCGTTAGCTCATAAGGGAAGTATATAAAGATTGTTAGTTCTTTCAGGAACAAAACTCTGGCTGTATTAGTAACATTTTACAAAAAATACACATACACATACAAATATAAGACTGTATATTATTTATAATATCTAGATGATGTACTAGTTTATTTATATAATGTAAACATGAGGGAAAAATGAGAATTTATTGATGTATAATATATCCTGTAAACATGTTCGAAGTTCAACATCTAAGGCAAAAGTGTATCCATACATAGTTGACGCTTCATACATCAACTATGTATGCGTACATAGTTGACTTAGGAGTAAAATAATACTAAGACTGAGTACATGGCTCAAAGAAGATTATATTATCCACCATTCCGAAGAAGGAGGTAAACAGTAGCACTAAAGAAAGGAAACGGAAGGGAGAGTCGAATGGCAGGGAGGAAGTGAAATTTCGGAAAGTGGGCTGCCCCAGTTGAGGAGGTTAGAAAGTTAGAGCAAGGTCGACCGACAACTTGAGCAAGAAAGTGCAATTATACACTCTCTTCTCCTCGCCTCTTCCACACTCCATAATTACCGCGACACTTTCTGGATCGGGAGGATCCGAGCGGTGGCGCCATCTATCGAAGGACGTCCGCTCGAAGGGGATCAAGGTACGAATGAGGAAACAGGCAGGGGCAATGGACATTTTACTGATAAATAAAAGAAAGAAATTCCCACTAAATCCGAAACATAACCATAAAGGCGTTTGGGGCATAAAAGGATACAAGGCAAAGAAGACGTCCTTGTGAGATTGAATTAATTTCTGTTACCTCCTGCTAAAATTTTAATTACTATACATTAAGTCAATGTTACTATTAATTTTTGTTTATCACTCCTTATCAAAAAGAATTTAAATTTATAAGTTCACGAAATGGTTTAAAGTCGTGATTAATCAAGCTTGTGTTAAAGAATGTTTACCATTCATTTCAACATAATTACAATTATTTTCGATTTGCATTTGAAGTCATAAGGTTGCCTTAATTCTTGATAAGAATTATACTTGCTAATATAGTAGGCATTCGAAGAATGGGGAAAGTCGGAGAAATAAAACTTGTTTCCTGGACTGAACCAATGAGATCATTGTGGTTAAGTGGGAGACGATATGCCTCTATGGGGGCATCTCCTTGTCTCATATATTGCGTTTATATCTATTCACGAAACAATTGAGCATCATGAAATAATTGAAAAAAATGTATTTTATTTGGTTTCCTGAAATATTTCGTTCGGAGGCCTAAATATAGAAGGGTTATAATTGGGGAAAGCTAGAACCCTACCCCAAACCTTTTACAAAAGAAACGAGTGACCTCTCAACCCTTTAGGGTGTTGTGACAAAGTTTATTACCAAAAGGCCAATAGAGGGTAGCGTAAGATAAAAGGGAAACTCGACGTAGATTTACGACTAGGCTGTCGACAGAAGATCGGGAAAGTAGGTCGGAAGCGCTCCCCCCGTAAAATTAGAAATCTACTGGGGGACGGGGATAGATTTCCTTCAAGTAGGGGGAGTACGATCTAGGTCACTGCTACCTGATGCCGCCCGCGCACTCCGTGAGAAACGTCCTTATCCAGCACCTGTTCCAATGCACTCAGGAAGTACCTTCGGCCCGTTAATTTTTTTTTTCATTACCTGCGGAATGCACATATGCGGTTCTAATTGTTTGAAATCCGAGCTATTGTATGGTCGCATCGACAATGATTTGGAAGATGGGTTTGTGAAACCAAATTAGACAATCACGGCAGGCCAAACTGGTTTCGGATTCGGTGTCGTTTCTAACCTGCCCCAGACGAGCTAGCTCCCGAACCTGTCGTGTGTTGAGTCATGCCTTAAAAATAATGCTTTATTGCTGTCTAGCGTT